GAGGAACAGGGATGTCGAGAGTGCCTGGGTCGCTGTCTGGGGATACAAGCATGGAGCAGAGATGGGGAACGGCGGCAGCAAGGTAGGCCAACTCATACTGCCTGTCCTCTAGCACGTCATTGCCAAGGGCTGGTGCACCCCCAACGGACGGAGGACGGGCAGGTTCAGAGACCAAATCGGCAGCGTAGTCAAGGCGGTGGCTAGCAGCGAAGTCGGCGACAACAGCGACAAACACAGAGACAGACTCAGGAGGAGCAGTAGGGTTAGTGACAAGCGACACAAGCAAGCGCGAAAGGGTAGGACGAGCAGTGCGAGCAGCGTCGGAGCGAGGAGGGGGGGACGATGGGAGCGACGACGGGGGAGGCAACGGGAGGACTGTGTCTGGAGGAGCACATGAATGAAGGACCATAGGGTGGACACTAGGACGGGGAGAGACAGGACGAGCACCAGAGGGGCGACGGAACTAGTGGGGAAGAACTGGGGACTGGGGATGAGGAGGAACGGGGGACAAGTCAGGGGACGGAGGGGAGCGTGGGGGAAAACGAGCCAGAAAGGAGTCCGAGGGAGGAAACAACGAGCCGTAAATAGGGTTACGCACTGGAGGGGGGACGGGCGGGCAGACAGGGAAACCTGGAGCAAAACCAAGGAGACGAAGGGCAGACTATTGCTGCTCCTGCTGCGGCGGCTGCGTTTGCTGCTACGGCTGTTGCTGTTGTTGCGACTGCTGCTGCGGCTGCAACTGCTCCCTATCCTCTCCAGGACCTCCAGCAGCTCCGTGGCTGCCCCAGGCACGCCACAAAACAGCACCCCCAGGACTAGCACCCTCGAAGTCAGCACCCCTAGAACTCGCACCCCCAAAACCAGCACCCCCAGAGCCTGCATCCCCAGAATTCGCACCCCCAGCACTCCCAACACCAACTCCACCAACACCAGCACCTCCAACACCAACACCGCCAACACCAGCACCCCCAGAACCAGCACCCCCAGAGCCCACTGCTCCCTCCTGCTGCTGCTGCTGCGGCCGCTGAGTCTGCTGCGGCGACGGGTGCAGCTGCTGAGGCAAGGGAGGAGGCATCTGAAGTGCCTGGGGTATCGAGGCTGGGGGAGGCGCCACAGAGAGAGCAGGCACGCCCCTAGCAGCTGGCCCCCCAGAGTCAGTCGACTCCCCCACATGCGCAACCGAGGGGAACTGAGTGGCGTGGGAGACACCAGACTGGGTCGGGCGGGGCGGGAGGGGAGCGGCAGGCAAGGCAAGAACAAAGATGTGAGGAGGAGGAGGCACAGGAGCGTTGCGGTGCGGGAAGCGCCGGTAGTAGGGGAGTGTCTCGTTGAAGATAACGTCACAAGACTGGTAAAAACGGTGGTATGAAAGGTGGTAGAACAGCAAGTCAGAAGTGCCAAGCGGAAACCCTAGGAAAACACAAGGAAGGCTGAGAGCTTGTCCGCGCCAGTGTCGCGGACGTGAGCAAGGCTGCCCTAGACGTGGAACGCAGATGCGTCACCGGGAGGCCGGGTTCGGAGGAGGGTCGGCAAAACCTGTGGCCGTTGGGAGCGCGGCCACAGGTTAAGCTGGTGAGCAGCGTAGCATACAGCGAACGGCCACAGAAAATGGGGTGCACTGGCGTGGACTATGGAGGTGCGAGCCACCTTCATGATCAGACTGATGGGACGCCCAGCGACCCCATTCTGCTGTGGGGAGTCCGGCACGAATGGCGGATGCCCTCCGCACGACATAACCATCCTAGAGTGCCAGAGGCGAACTCGCCACCTCGGTCAGAGTGTATGCAACGTACAGGTAGGCGGTGGTGGGTGCGAATAGTGAGAAGCCACAGGAGGAGAACGGTAGGCACGTCGGCCTTCCGCTCTAACGGGAACACTGTGATGAAGAGGGAGAAGTTATCAACGACGACTAGAAAGTAGCGCTCCCGACTCAGACCACGGACCAGGGCAGGGCCCCAGACGTCCATGTGGAGTGTCTGCAGCGGTGCTGTGGTAGAAGGAAATGAGGAGAGAGGGGCTGCGCGCTGCCGACTCTCGACGCAGGACGTGCACAGTGGCGCTACTGACGTAGGCACGGCGGGAAACAACGCAGGGAGACCAGTGACTAGACCATGCTGGGATATGTGCCGAAGACGCGGGAGTGCAGGGTGACCTAAGCGGTGGTGCCACAGTAGGGTCGGGTGGGCTATGGAGCGACAGGAGCAGGACGCGGCAACCACGGCAAATGCAGCAGTCGGCGGGGACTTAGTATGCAGTGTAAAGAGACCGGACACTGAGTCACGCTCAAGCATGGCTAAGTGCCGACCGGTGGCTGTGTCTGTGCAAGCAGCGTGTCTCTTGCGGCGAGGGAACGTAGTGGTGATGCCTCGGTCCTGAAGGTGACCGACACCCACTAGGTTCTTGGCAAACGAGGGGATGTGCAGACCGGTCAGGGAGCCGGAGGGGACAGCTGGACGGGGGAGAGTGGTGGTGCTACGTGCAACAGCTGTGGCGGAGGAGTCTGCTAGTGCAACGCGGACGGGCGTAGGAAGCGGGGTGAGTGCAGTGCTGTCCCTAAATAAGCAACGAGACGCGCCCGAGTCAAGGATAAAAGTGAGGGCCGCCTCAGGAGGGGCAGGAGAGGACTCTAGGAGATACGTAATAGAGGCTCCTAGACTAGACACAATGGTGGGACTTAGACCCCTAGGCCCCAAGGCCCCCTGTCTTCCAGAGAAACCACACTGGTCCCAGGGCAGTGATCGCCCCAGGGCCGCACCTCCAAAGCCTCCACCTCGCTCAGCACCCCCATGACTCCACTGCGGCTGCTGCTGCTGCTGTCGTCGCTGCTACTGCGGTTGCGGCACTGGCCAGAGAGCCCGGAAGCAGACATCAAGGTCGCGGAGCCAGAAGCCGATAAGGTAACTAATGTGATCCTCTAGGAGCATGCAGTCTAGGTGCGGGCTCACCAGCTGTAGACGGTGAGCAAGAAATCTGAGAGCGAAGGGAAGTGCCCGACGGTCTAGCCGAGGGACTGACCCGAACGAGGCCATCATGCCGAGAGGAGACGCGTCGAGGAACTCTAGAAACGAGGAGGAGACTAGTGGGAGGCACTAGGTTATAGAGGAGTACAATCGGAGGTAGTAGCAGTGGCGATTGTGACCAGAGAAGTGGCAGCGAGCACAAGGCTGGTAGCAACAGCGGCTAGTGCCAGTAAGATGGCAGTAGCGGCTAGCTGGCAGCTGGCGGTAGGCTAGAAGCTGCTAGGAGGAGTGGGGAGCAAACGAGGAGGAAGTACGTGCGAGAGGATCTACTAGGAGCGGTACGCCAAGGAGCTAGCTAGGCGGTACGAGGACTGGCGGCACAGGACGAAGGACAGTCCACACGGCACGGGGGACTCACGTGTTAGACGGCGCCTGGCGACTGGCAGCTGGCGGCCGACTGCCGCTGGCGGATGGTGGTCAGCGACTGGCCGCGAATGGTGGCAGCTGGCGGCTGCCGGCTGAGGGTCGGCAGCCGGCTGCTGGCGGCTGGTGACTGTTGGCGGCTGGCAGCTGGCGCTGGCTGCTGGTTGCTGGCGCTGGTGGCGCTGGTGAGGCAGCAAGTTGGCTGCTGGCTGCTGGCGCTGGCTGCTGGCGCTGCTGGCTGCTGGTTGCTGGCTGCTGGCTGCTGGCGCTGCTGACTGCTGGTTGCTGGCTGCTGGCTGCTGGTGCTAGCTGCTGACGCTCGCTGCTGGTGCTGCTGGCTGCTGGCGCTGGCTGGCGCTGGCTGGCACTAACGAGTTAGCTGGTGGTGTGGGCAAGCAGGCGGGCAGGCAGGCTGGTGAGCAGGTGCGCTGGAGAGCAGGCGAGCTGGCGAACAGGCGCACTGGCAAGCAAGCGGGCTGGCCGGCTGGCAAGCAGGCGAGCAGGTGCGCTGGCAAGCAGGCGGGCTGGCGGGCTGGCGAGCAGGCGAGCAGGCGGGCCGGTGAGCAGGCAAGCTTGCAAACTGGCAAGCAGGCGGGCTGGCGGGCTGGCGAGCTGGCGAGCAGGTGGGTTGGCGAGCAGGTGGGCTGGCGGGCAGGCGAGCACGCGAGCAGGCAGGCGGGCGAGCAGGCGAGCGTGCGAGCTCGTGAGCAGGCGAGCGTGCAAGCTCGCGAGCAGGAGGGCTGGCGGGCTGGTGAGCAGGCGAGGGTGCGAGCTGTCGAGCAGGTGGGCTGGCGGGCTGGCGAGCAGGCAGGCTAGCGAGCGTGCGAGCTGGCGAGCAGGCGGGCTGGCGGGCTGGCGAGCAGGTGAGCAGGAGGGTTGGCGAGCATGCGAGCTGGCAGGCTGGCGAGCAGGCGGGCTGGTGGGCAGGCGAGCAAACGGGCAGGCGAACAAGCGAGCGTGTGAGGCGTCGAGCAGGTGGCTGGCGGGCTGGCTAGCAGGCGGGCTGGAGAGCAGGCAGGCTGGCGAGCGTGTGAGCTGGCGAGCAAGCGGGCTGGCGAGCAGGCAAGCAGGCGGGCTGGCGAGCAGACGAGCGTGCGAGCTAGCGAGCAGTCGAGCAGGCGGGCTGGCGAGCGGGCAGGCTGGCGTGCAGGCGAGCAAGCGAACAGGCGAGCAAGCGAGCAGGCGAGCAAGCGAGCAGGCGGGCAAGCATGCGGGTGAGCAGGCAAGCAGACGGGCAGGCGAGCTGGCGCGAGCTGGTGCAGGCTATGAACGGGTGGCGGGAAGTGGGACGGCTACGAAATAAGGCGCTGTCGGGCACGAGCCAGCGGCGGCTGGCGTGAGCTACGCGACGAAGAGGAGTGGGTGGGGAGGGGACGAGCTATGAGGCGCGCTAGGCTGGGGTGTGCTAGGGCGGAAGCGTGAGTAGAGGGCGAGACCTAGCTCTAGATGCCATGTTAGATTGTCGAAAGGAATGTGTGCATGGGAAAAGTGTGGAGCATTACAAAGGTGGGGCTGTACCCTCTAAGAACTGACCTAACTAAGGCTAAAAACGAATATAAACTAGCTAGCCTAGATAATTATATTTGTTGACAAGGACTTGCTGTAATGGCTAATAAAATAGGTTGCTGGGCTTTTCAAGCAATAGGTTGTTAATAAAATACATTGATCTAACACTGCTGACACTGGAACTGTACATTGATCTGACACTGCTGACACTAGAAGTACATTGATCTGACACTGCTGGAAGCATACATGGGTAGCCTCATACATGCAACGCTGTCTGCATGAAAAGCACAACCACCGGCAAAAAAAAACCACAACTAGGTGACTTCTGAGTCGACTCAAAAGTCAGCACAATACAATACAACTACCTCCTTCCTCTTGACCGCTTCCCCTTCCCTCTCCCTTTCCCTCCTCCACCTTTCCTCTTCCCCTTCCCCCCTCCACCGCCCCCCTTCCTCCTCCCTCCCCCACCAAACCCCGAGAGATCCTTATCCCCAATCACCCCTCCCTTCCTCCCACCCCCATCCCCCCCAATCTTCCACTTCCTCGGATCCACATGCAGCACCCCCCCTTGATAATCCCCATCCGAGGCCTTCAGCCCACGCTCCTCTGCCCTCCAATCCACCCGTGCCTTTCTCGGGCGGCCTTCTTTGGCCTCTTCCTCCTCGGCTAGGAGTCGGGCGAGGGTGCCCTGGCCGAGCCTCCGGTGCTTGCTCTTCTTGTCGCGAGGGTTCGCTCCCTTCACTTGAATCATGCCAGACGCCACTTCCTGAAAGAGCAAGGCACAGCAGGGGTTGGGGGGGGAGGAAGGTTCTTCTTATCGCTCGCTCCCTTCACTTGAATCATGCCAGACGCCACTTCCTGAAAAAGGGGCACGTAGAGCAAGGCAGCACAGTAAGGCAGCAAAGCAAGGCAAGGCAGGGGGTAGGGGGAGGAGGGTGGTATGTTGAGGTGGCTAAGGCCAAGACGAGGGTGCCCTGGCCGAGCCTCCTGTGCCTGCCCTTCTTGTCGCAGGGGTTCGCTCCCTTCACTTGGATCATGCCAGACACCACTTCCTGAAAAGCAAGGCACGGCAGGGGTTGGGGGGAAAGGAAGGTTCTTCTTGTCGCAGGGGTTCGCTCCCTTCACTTGGATCATGCCAGACGCCACTTCCTGGAAAGACAATTCAGAGCAAAGAACCAAATCAAGGGAAGTGGAGGGTGGGGAGCAGCAAGGATAGGGGAAGGAAGATGGTGCTTTGAGGTGCCTCAAAGCCCGGCTAGGGTGCCCAGGCCGAGCCTCCTGCGCTTGCTCCTTCTATCGGGTGGGTTCGCTCCCTTCACCTGCATCATGCCAGAAGCCACTTCCTAACAATTAAAGCAGGAATGTAAGCGCCATGGCGGTGCTTTGCTTTTGAGGCACTCGAAAATACTCTAATTCTGCCTGATTTAGCCTTACTCAATACTAACTGTATTATGTTCTAAGCGTTACTTAGCATTGACTGATCTTTGGATTGGAAGTACCATGTTACCTGAAACGATTTCACGGGTCGCCATCGTCAAGTCTTCCTATCCAATCGCACCTCTTCCAACTCTCTCGGTCGCATCACCAACTTCCAAAATCACACCTCCGCCTCGGTTTCCCCTAGCACCTCGCACCTTCCCCACCCAGCCAATTGCACCACTTCCAGCTCCCGCCATTGCTTCTTTCGCTGCACTGACCGATACCCCTTGGATCCATCAGATGTCCTTTTTTCTGCCCATCCATCTCGCACCCTCCCCCAATCCCACTCACCTCTAGCTCGCACCCTTCCCATCCACCTCACTCACCTCCTCCAGCTCTCGCAGTCGCTTCTTCCGCTGCACTGACCGATAGCCCTCCGTTGCGGCTATGTTCATGCTCATGCGCTTGGGCGGCTGGGAGGGGGACAGGGGGGAGAGTGGCATAGTGGGAAGGGAGGAAGCGTGGGACACAGGGGAGATAAGGCCCCTCCGTAGCTGCTGTGTCCATCCTCATGCGCTTGGCTTGGAGGGCTGCGAGGGAGCAGGGTGGGGACCAACAAACCTTGCCCCCTAGATGCCGCACAATATGGTTCGTCTCCCACTGCTTGCGCTGGTTCCACTCCACTTCTCACTTGGTTCCTTCCCAAATGCCCTCCCACTCAACACACACCTTGACCCCTAGGTGCCGCACGATGTGGTTGGTCTCCCACTGCTTGCGCTGGTTCCACTCCATAGTAGACACGCCGAGTCGCTCCGTCTCTCTAGCGATCGCGATGTACTCCTCCATGTGCAGCCGGGTCTCCTTCTCCTCCTCGTCCTCCTCCTCCTTCTTCACCGCCCTCCCCCGGCGCCTCCTCCGCCACCCCTCCGGCTCCTCCTCCGGCGCATTCGGGTCCTTGAAGATATTAGCCACTTTGGACGACTGGGGGGGGTTGGGGCAGGCATAAGGTCAAACAGACGGGCAGGCATAGGGTCGGGCATAGGCCGAGTCTCCTTCTCCTCGTCCTCCTCCTCCTTCTTGACCGCCCTCCCCCTGCGTCTCCTCCGCCACCCCTCCGGCACCTCCTCCGGTGCGTTTGGGTCCTATTTGCCACATTGGAAGACTAGGGTGGAAGTGGGGGAGGTAAAGCAAGGGGAGAGCGGGACCGATCGATGGAGCATCTCTCCTTTTCGCCCTCCTCCACCTTCCCTCGGGCTCGTCCTCGAGTGCGTTTGGGTCCTTGAGAATATTCGCCACATTGGACGACTGGGAGGTGAAGACGAAGAGGGGAGCAGAGGGGAGCAGAGGAGAGCAGAGGGGAATGACTGATGGCATGTCTCTCTCTCTCTCTCTCTCTCTCTCTCTCTCTCTCTCTCTCTCTCTCTCTCTCTCTCTCTCTCTCTCTCTCTCTCTCTCTCTCTCTCTCTCTCTCTCCCCATCTTCCTCCTCCCCTCTGGCTCCTCCTCTGGCGCGTTTGTATCCTTTGAGAATATTCGCCACCTTGGACGACTGGGGGAAGGCAGGCAGGCTGCAGGAACACAGGTGCAGGGAGGTACAGCAAAGTGGGGAGCAGCGTTTAGGGCTTAGGGAACAGCGTTTAGGGCTTAGGGAACAGCGTTTAGGGCTTAGGGAACAGCGTTTAGGGCTTAGGGAACAGCGTTTAGGGCTTAGGGAACAGCGTTTAGGGCTTAGGGAACAGCGTTTAGGGCTTAGGGAACAGCGTTTAGGGCTTAGGGAACAGCGCTTAGGTCTTAGGGAACAGCGTTTAGGGCTTAGGGAACAGCGTTTAGGGCTTAGGGAACAGAGAGATTTACTGCCCGAGGCCTGGCCCTTCTCTTTGGCTCCACCCCCCCTGCTTTTGGATCCCTCATTGTGCTTGCGGCATCGGGCGCCACACCACACCAAACCACACCACACCGCACCACACCGCACCACACCACACCGCACCACCCCACATCACATGAAACCACACAGACCCCGCCGCATTGCACCTCCCCACCGCGCTGCACTGCTAGTGCATTGCACCGCCGCACAGCACCGCACCGCACCAGTCCCCACCCTCAGCTCACCATGAACAGTTTCCGCTCCTTCCTGCTGCTGATCTGGCCGCCCAATAAGAGCTTGACACGTGTTGCTCGCTTCTTGAGGTTACTCCCCTCTTCAAACACTATCACCTCCGGACCAGACACACGCCCACCCTCCTCCTCTTCCTCCTCTTCTTCCTCCTCCTCCGCTGCCACTTCATTGTCTTCTTCCTCCTCCCATTCCTCCTCCTCTTCCTCCTCTTCCTCCTCTTCCTCCTCCTCCTCCTCTTCCTCCTCCTCCTCCTCCCCTTCCTCCCCTTCCTCCTCCTGCTGTAGCGGCTTCTTATTACTACGCCCACTTGCCGCTGCTACCACCACACCCCTCCTCTTCCCTCCCTCCTCTCCCTCCACCAAACCCCCATTCCCCATCATAGACCTTCTCTCCCTCTGCTCTCCCTTCAGCGCCCCAGCACCCTCTCTCTTCCCTGCTGTTCCATTCAACATACCACCCTTCCCCACCCACTCAGGCGCTACTCCCTTGACCACCCTGTTGCGAATTTGACTATCTGCTTTCCGTTTGCCACCTGAAAGGGTTGCAACGCAAGAGACGCAGAGGAGGAAGGAGAATTCTTGAGGCGCCTCAAAAACCACCTCCCTTCACCACCCACCCTGTTGCACTTCTGGCTATCTGCTTTCTGCCACCTGAGGGGGTTTCAAGAGAGACAGAAGATGGTGCACAGAGAAGCAACACACGGGCTTGGCACCCGTGTGCCCATATATAGTCCGGATGATTGCAGTTTAGTTCTGAAATGAAACGTCTCAAAACTGAGAGGCAGAGGACGGAAGGCAGAGGACGGAAGGCAGAGGACGGAAGGCAGAGGACGGAAGGCAGAGGACGGAAGGCAGAGGACGGAAGGCAGAGGACGGAAGGCAGAGGACGGAAGGCAGAGGACGGAAGGCAGAGGACGGAAGGCAGAGGACGGAAGGCAGAGGACGGAAGGCAGAGGACGGAAGGCAGAGGACGGAAGGCAGAGGACGGAAGGCAGAGGACGGAAGGCAGAGGACGGAAGGCAGAGGACGGAAGGCAGAGGACGGAAGGCAGAGGACGGAAGGCAGAGGACGGAAGGCAGAGGACGGAAGGCAGAGGACGGAAGGCAGAGGACGGAAGGCAGAGGACGGAAGGCAGAGGACGGAAGGCAGAGGACGGAAGGCAGAGGACGGAAGGCAGAGGACGGAAGGCATAGGACGGAATGCATAGGACGGAAGGCAGAGGACGGAAGGCATAGGACGGAAGGCAGAGGACGGAAGGCGGGAAAGCAGATAACGGGCTCCGCACCGCACTCGCGCACACGCAATCAAATATAGACAGGAATTCACACGCCCACTGAGAGACCAATAAACCCAAGCACCCAGGAACCCCGAAACCCCGAAACGAAACCCCAAAACCCAGAAACCATGCAGCCCCAAAACCCTAAACCCCAGCATCCTGAACTCCAACAGCGCACAGCATCCAGCAGATTTTTTAGGCGCCTAAAAAATCGCCTGAAACCATGCAACCCCAGAATCCTGAACTCCAGGAGCGCACAGCACAGCACCTAGCGGAGAAAACTTCCACACCTGTGGTCGTGCTTGGCGGTGCTTCTGTGGCTGCTGTGGAGCCGTTGGATCGGGCTCGATCAACGGCTCGTGCTGCTGCTGGTTGCAATGTTGCCCGGTTCGTCTGGAGAACAGTTGAAGCGTGATAGGGAGGAGAGGAGGAAAGGAGAGGAGAGGAGGGGGGGGGGGGAGAGGAAGGAGAAAGGGAGGGAGGGGGGGAGGAGAGGGGAGGGGGTGGAGGCGAGAAGGTCGTTCTGAGTCGGCTCTAGAAGTAACATGTCTCGAGATCAAGAAACTCAGAAGTCTGCTTGTTGCAATGATGATGTCCGGGGAAGGGGAGAGGGAAGAGGGGGGGGGGAGAGAGGAGCGAGAGGAAATGCGGATAGTTAGGAGGAGATGAGCAGGGGGTGGGGGGTGGGGGAAGGGATGCAGTTTTCAAACGAACATAGGGTTGGAAATTTCTCAGGAACGCACCTGACCTGGCGTATTTGCTGACGTGGCAGCCGGTTGGAGTGGCCCCTGAGCTGACTCGCCACGCTCGTCGTCTTGGAACATGCTCATGAACATCTCGCCTGCATGGCAGTTACAGTTACACGAGTTACCAAAAGGTTAAGAGAGAAACAACATTGACACAAGCTCATGAACATCTCGCCTCATACATGGCAGTTACAGTTACATGAGTTACCAGGCAGTTAAGGAAGAAACAACATCGACTCATGCTGAGGAACATCGCGCCTTATGCATGGCAGTTGCATACGTGATGAGATGGTGAAGTGATGAGATGACATGGCACAATAAGAGGGTATTTTAGAGAAATCTCAAAAACACCCTGCAAAAGCGATGAGATGACATAGAACAATGGGAAAGGGTATGATGCCAAGTGTTACCATGAATGCGATGCAATAATAAAGGCTGAGTAGAAAGGAGCACGGGGTGGAGCAATGGTGACGCCGCCACAAAATAAAACTCTTAGCTAATAGCCACCGCGCACGCGTCAAAGCCCTAACGAGCTGATAAAGCCGTGAATCCGTTTCGGTTAAACCCTTCAAATCTCAAAACCCTCGCTTGCGGACGCGAAACCTCGTTTGTAGACCGTTCAAACCCTAACTCCAGCCACAGCCACTCCAGTCAGCGTGAAGCCATCAAAATCAGATAATGCCGAGCCACTCTAGCTGGATTTTGGAATTTTGATAGAGTGGCTTCAACTCCTTCTGGGTATTTTTTAGAATTCTCAAAAATGCCCTGCAAAATTGGCTGACTTCTACTCCTTCTGAAACACACGCCAGGAAACCCGGAACCTTTTCTCTGCGCTTAACTCTCTCCTCGCTCGAATCGCCTTGCGCCTGACTTGTTTCAACTGGTTTCCGGTGCCCAACAACTCAATGCTCGAGGAGCCTTATAAGCCGACTTTTGAGGCGCCTCAAAAGTGGTTTCCGTTGCCCAACAACTCAATGCTCGACGTTATAAGCCGTCTCGTGACTAGTTACGTTGCTCGTTCTTGGGAAACTGCTTCTGGTTGATCGTACTTTCTCGAAACGACTTTTGAGTCGACTCAACAGTCAACTTAGAACACTGCTCACAACGAGTACGCTGATCGTACCGTCTTCTAAGACTCAAAGAGCCCAGATGCAATTCTAGGTGCGGTACCTCGTTCTTCCAGTCGTTTCTGCAGCAGCGCTTGTAACGAAGCGTCCAGCCCTACTTCAGCATCGTCGTCGTCGTCGCTGCTGGTAACTCTCTTCGCAAAACCGTCTTCGCGAGCTGGCGCCTTCTTCTTGATCCCCATCTTCCGCCTTCACCCTTCTTGATTCTTGACTGACTAATGTAGGATCCCGTGGCACCTCCCCCGGTGTTCTTGGGCGGACGGCTATATTTCTCACGATATGTGTCTTCGAAAATGTGCTGAAATGTTTTGTGAACAAAATGCCTGAGATGACGGCAACTGAAGGTTTGGGTTCATGACACGCCATGCCAGGAGAGGGTATGACGCGATAAGACAGTTCTTGTTACAACACCCGTGCCACTCAAACACATTTTGTTTGGCATGCGATATAACTTGAGTGGATCTAATTAGTTGAATATAACAAGAAAAACGCAAATACCACCATGAGCGGAATAAGAAAATATAATTTCGAATGCAAATTTTACTATAAGGACCATCTAAACAATTTCTCGCAAACTCTCGGGCTCTTGATCCGCTAATGCACTACAAAACGGATGAAACACAGGAGTATATTTCAACCACATATTAGGATTCACAAGGTGAACAAAACTGTTTAGTGACTTTGTTCCTATCGAGCCTTTTTCAGTGTGGTGTGTTGCTGACGTGAAGTCAAAGCCAACTTCAAGGTGATCTTGCTTCAAGTCTTCCCTTGATAAATCTGTGTCAAGGCTATTACTGTCATGGCGCCATGGCTATTACTGTCTAAATTGATACCTCAGGGTACTTCCGTGTTCAGTAAACAGGCACGCGTGCTTTTCAACCGCTGTGATCCACGCGAGAGCGGGTATTAGTTAGCCAGCAAAGGTTGTTTCGACGGGTTGTAAGAGACGTAGCTTGAATGTGACTGCTGTTCCGACAGGTCCGTTTCACGGAAAAGCGTAGTCGACTATATAAAGTGATCTCGGGCTACCGGTAACTCGATAGAATATAGCGTAAACGCTATATTTAATTGATCGGTGTATCGGCATTGGCGTCGCTTTGCTCGTAGCGTCGTATGAACTAAACGTCTACTATGCTTCGCGCTCCATCGCACCAGCAGCAGCAGTGTTTTGCGCATCCTCATAGTTCTCACCAAATGCTAGACAACATAATCTCGTGAGTGCGTGAAGCTGTGTTCGGCTAGAGATTTTAACGAATTTCAACGCCATGGACAGTAGCGGGGATGACATGGATGTAGACGGGATAATCCAGAGGCTGAGGGATAAATACACCCCCAGTGATGCAGAGACATCGTACTCTCCATCCGTACCTGCAAGCTCCGCTGGGGTTGCCGAACCTGCCGGTAGGTTCGGCAGCGTTCGAGCAACTGGCTCGGCAACACAGCTTGCCGAACCAGACTCAACCCAAGGCTTGCCGTCCCAGCCTCGGCGAGATAGCAGCAGCACCTCTCTTCAGCTCTTATCAAATGTGGCTCTATCGAATGTGACTCAAAGAGAGGCCAATTCGGCGCTTTTAAAAGAGAAGCCCAAGAGGCAGGTGAAGTGGAAGGACCTGGAGGAGGCGCAATCAGAGGCCTCCACGTGGGATGACTTTGACGCTAGCAGCTTAAATTCAGGTCGAAGCTCCTCAACGCTGCTTGGAGGGACAGGAGGGATCGGAGAGACAGGTGGGACAGGAGGAGGGGACGGAAGGAGAGCTAGTTTACCTGGCAGATTATGTGACGGTTCTTCTGAAGCTGCAGCAGGAGCAAGAGCAGCAGCACCAGCACCAGCACCAGCAGCACCAGCAGCAGCAGCAGGAGAAGCAGAGCAGCAGCAGCAGCTGTTTAGAGCGCTGCTAGAGCTACAGTCGCTGCTACAGGCGTCCCAGGAGGAAGCTTCCACGACACGCGAAGAAAACTCCGAGCTACGCCGATCGTTGAGGACTGCTTGGGATGACGTGGCACAGCTAGAAGAGAGTAAGGCCCAGGTGGAGCTCCAGCTGGCACAGGCACAGGGGCAGTTGGGGCAGTTGGGGCAGTTGGGGCAGGCACAGATGCAGGTTCAGGCCCAGCTATCTCAGGCTCACGGGCAGATTTCGCAGCTGCAGGCAGAGCTTTGGGCAGCTCAGGAAGAAGTTCGGGTTGCCCGGGCTGAGCTGGCGGGAGTCCGGGCTGAGCTGGCGGGTGCGCAGGAGGAAGGGAGAGAATTGGCGGAAGGGTTAAGAGAGGCGAGTGCTGAGGCGGGAGAACTTCGGGCAGATTTGGAAACTTTGAAGGAGAGTTTGATTGATGAACAAACGCGGGTTGGGGAATTTATAGAAGAAAATGGGATTCTGCAGGAGGAGGTTCGGAAGTCCCTGACCGCAGCTGGGAAGGCTCGGGCTGAGGCTGATGAGGTTCGGGAGGAGAATGAAAGGCTGAGGGATGATTTCGGGCAGCTAAAATATGAGAATGAGCAGGCGCAGAGAGTTTTGGCAGCTGCCCAGGGGGAGCTCGGGCAGGTGCTGGAAGACGGGCAAGGGCAGCGGGAAAGAGTCAGAACACTTTTAGCTGAGAGTGGTCGCTTGAGAGTGGAAAATAGCAAGCTTAAGAAAGAGCTGGATGTTCTGAGGAGCAGTGGAGGAGGGAGGATAGGAGGGGTAACAGGAGTGGAGGAGAGACTTGGGGGGGAGAGAGGAGAGTATGGGATTGGGGAGGGTGGAGGGGGAGGAGAGGGTGGTGGGGGAGAGGAAGGGGGAGGAGGAGGGGACGGATGGATGGGAGGGAGAAACGATAATGTTTTGTTGCGACAGCTGGACAGGAGCCTGAATGCTGCCCGGGAAGAAATAGTCGTGCTGAAAGCAGAGAACAGGCGGCTGCAGAATTCTTTTGAGGCTGCCCGAGAAGAAGCAGCAAGGGAAGGTTTTGGTCCTAGGAGGATGGGTGGGGGATGGAGGGGAGAGGATGGTGGAGGGGAGGAGGTATGGGATCTTGTTGGGTCAGCAGCAGAGGCATGGGAGGAACTAGAAAGAGTCAGGAGGACAAAGGAAAAGGCGGAGGAGAGAGCAGAGAAGCTACAGCTAGAGCTGGTTGTAGCAGACGAGAAGGCTGCCAGGCTTCAGACGGATCTGGCTGTAGCAGAGGAGAGGCTCTCCAGGCTGCAGGCTCAGGTGGACCAGGAAAAAAATCAGGTGGAAGCAACAGTGAGGGAAGCGGAAGGGAGGCGGAGAGCCGCAGAGGAGAGGGTTGCGGCTTTAGGGTTGCAGTTAGAGGGAGTGGAAGGTGTAGATGCACTGCGCAGTGGTGTGGATGTGGATATGCTTTTAGAGAGGACTAGTGTGAGCAGTGGCAGTGGTGATGGGGGTGCTGTTGTTGGTCGGGGTGCTAGCTTTGCTGCTGTTGCCAGCACTGCTGCCGCTGGTGCTGGTACTGGTGCTGCTGGTGATGGTGATGGTGCTGCTGCTGGTGCTGCTGCTGGTGTTGCTGCTGGTGGGGGTGGTGATGGAGGTTTTGATGGGCGCAGGAGCAGCTTTGATCCGTTGACTTGGCGTCAGAAGTTTGCTTATATACCAGAGGAGGACAGAGCAACATGGCTGCAGGACGGCCTAGATCGCACGCACAGGGAGAATCAACGGCTCAAGATCCTCATTAGGCATCTGCAGTCAACGCTGGTCAAACAAGACGAGGAGGTCAATCAGCTTCGGGCCGTACGTGCAGCTTCGGATACCGAAGCTGCTGTGGCGTTTGGGAGAGACCGAGCCTCTGGTATGGAGAGAACTGTCCCAGCTGTGGAGGAGGTTCGGGATAAGCTGCATGCTGCCGAAGCTGAGCAGGCTCGGCTGGCTGCCGAAGCTGAGGCTCTGCGTCAGGACCTTTGGACTGCCCTGGATCAGTGCGGGCAGCTTGAACGAACCGTTGCTTGGCTGGAGGAGGATCTCGGGCAGGCCCAGCAGGAACTTTCCGCTGCCCAGGAAGAGGCAAAGGGTGCAAAGATGGAGGCAGAACGGGCAGAAGAACGGGCAGAAGACACAACAGCGGCTCTCCACGAGTTGCAACGGGAGATGAGCCGGCAGTTACATCAATCCAAGGAGACGACACACCAGCTGAGTACACGTGTCGTGGTCGCCGCAAGCGAGAGCCGGTTACGAGCAGAAGAGGCAAGAGCGTTCCGAGAAGCAAAGAGCGCTACTGTAGCAGAGCTTAGCAGTGCTGTGGAAGGGTTGAGGGAGGAAGTGAGGGTGGCGAGAGGGAGGGAGAGAGTGAGGGAGAGGGAGGCTGTGAGGGCAAGAGAGGTAGCAGCAGAGGCGAAGAGGCAGCTGGAGGTGGAGCAGGAGAGGAGGGAGGGGAGGGACGGGGGAGTGGCTCAGGTGCCTGACCTCCTGGTGTGGCCCATCGACTTGTTCATTCCTTCGCAGTTTTTCGTGTTCTGAGGCTGGGAGGGCGAGAGGGAGGGAGAGAGTGAGGGATAGGGTGAGGGAGAGGGAGGCGAGAGACACAGCAGCAGAGGCACAGAGGCAGTTAGAGGTGGAGCAGGAGACAAGGGAGGGGAGGAGTGGGGGAGTGGCTCAGGAGCCTGATCCGCTGGTGTGGCCTACTGGTGATGGTGGTGGTGAGAAGGGGCTGGCTGATGGATTGCTCTGATCTGATGTGTCTGAAAGATACAATCTGGAGCAGAACCCCAGTGGGATGGGATCCCCAGTGTCAGCAAAAGCTGGCCACAGTGAGGGTTGGGCTGGGTGGGTGGGAGTCAAACCAGTAATTTACATGTACTATCTCCGTTCCATCATGAGGTACCTATCAAAATTCACGTTCCATTATGGCAAATGCACTTTACTATACATCCTGCCATGATCTATCTTCTGTACTAGGAACCAGCAGAACCAAATATTACCAGGTCCAATGTGGAATATCAAGAGTGAGTAGACTCAAAAGTCACCTCGAATATCGGAGTGAGTGGATTAGAATCATTAATAAATGTCACAGCCTAAGCACACCAGGAGTAGCTACTTGGTAGTACTGTAGTCGCTACACAGCTAAAATCTAACTTCCTAAGTTGCTCCACCGCAACCTAATGGATCCCACCATCCTCCACCGCACATGAAATAAAAAAATGAGACGGCGGCGCCAGATCACAAGTACCCAGCTACTTCACCCAGACTGTTTTAGTCGCGCGCGCGCGCGCGCGGAAATAATCACCGAGAGAAAGTCAGGACCAAATGAAGGCAACTGAACCACCGTCGTCTGGTGTAAAAAGCGTGTGGTCAAATCTTCAGCTTCGGCTTCGCGGAAAATTAGCCGTTGCTGAAAAATAACGAGAACTGTACAGTCGACGAGCGTCGCGTTCCATCTCATGGTCCATGTCAGGTGCGCGTTTCATCTCGTCGCTCCGTGTCATGTCGGCTCCGTGTCATCTCTACTCGATGACACTGAACTCCGCCACAGTGTTCGCGACGAGGCTCTCCACCGCTTGCGCCAGGCCCTTCCCCTCGCACCGTACGGACGCCCACCATTGATTGCTGCTCGCGCTGCTGTTACCCAAGTTACCACCGCTACTTCTTCCGCTGCTGCCGAGGCCGCCGGCTCTTCTGCTGCTGCAGCCGGGACTGCGACACCGCAGGGGGCTGTTCGTCGCGCTACAGCCGCCGCTCCGGCTGTAGCAGCTGGGGCTGCGGCTGCGCTTCGGGCTGCTGGTCGTGCTGCTCGGGCAGGAAGCGCTGCCTGGAAGGATTTCCGACGGGCTGCCGGAAAGGCTGCCCGGTTGAGAAGAGGGAGGAGGGGACGGGGCCCTCGGCGGGAGCTTCGGCCGGGTTGAAATCGCCATTGCTGGGAATATTGAGAACGATTAAAAACGAGAAGAACGTTGGTCGTCCGTCGGAAAGCGACGCTGGCGCAAGGGCTAAGCCTGAAGCGAGAAAGTCGTAGGTCGCAAAGGGATTTAGACAAAGTTGCGAAGCTCGTGTACAAGCGCGCACAAGAGCTGGTGGCAGGGACGATATATGCAGGGCTAGACCGTGGGAAGAGTTTTGGCTAAGCTCAGATCGTCGGAATGATGCTGTAGGAGACAAAATGTCGATTGATCGAGGATGTGCCGAGGCTGTTTGAAAGAAAAGGTGTGTTCGACGCCCCTTTATGCGCTGAGGCCTGTTGAGGGGAGGGGAGGGAGGGAGGTCCAAGCAGAACTTGATCGCGAGATTCACGAACAAAATTGAGAGTAGAGGGTGCGTCGTGCGTGCACTGGACTTCTGCGGGTGGGGCGAGAGGGCGGGGGAGGTGCGTTGGGGGAAGGGAGAGGCGGAGAGCAGGTGGGGCTGAGGGGAACAGATGACGCAGGAAAGGCTGGGCGGGGTGGGGCCAGCAGCAATTGCAATTGGCGGTGTGACGCGAATTGCGCGAATTGCGACCCACACACACACCACCGACGCCACGCAGACCAGGCCAGCCCGGCCCAGCCAGGCCAGCGAACGTTCCATTGGCGTCGTCGAACTGGCTTGCCTTGCCTGGCAAGCGTCGCTCGTTCACGCCAAACCAAAATATCGGTCATCCAATCAGCGCTGCCCGAACGCGCAATCTCCAGTGTAGCCTTGTACGTAGAGTTGTGTTCAGTTGTCTACACGCTCGGACCTGCGCTGAACCAGCCAATCACTGGCGGGCCAAGCCACCTGAAGCACGCCACCGCAAAGCCAGCCAACGCACGTGGTCCATGAGACCTCCGCGCCCGTCGGTGGTTTGTAACGGGCTCGCCTTCCAGGAAGCGCGATGCGGGGGGAAGTCCCCGACACGTGGATATTTCAGATTCGGCTTCGTTTGAATCTAGGCTAGGGGAACACGAGATGCGGACAGGCTGGAAGCGGTGAACAGCTCAATTGGAACCTGGTCCCTCAGACGAGGCGCAAGGTGGTTTTCTGGGCTGACGACGATTGGCCCAGGCAGACAGGTGGCAGTGCTGCTGAGAGTGGAACTGTGGAACAAACGCGCGGCGAGCGTTTGAAAAATCGCAAAGGGGACTGGTCGCGGACAGCCCCTCGTCAAACCAGTGATTTCTTGCAGTTTCGTTCAAATCAAAGGTTCGTGCGAAACCCCACTGGCGAATAATTCCTGGCCTGCCTGAGGAAACCTCTGATGGAATCAAGGCATCCTTGCGACGCGACCCGAATAGTCCTTGAGCTCCGCCGTATCCCGCTAACCCACCTGCGACTCGCGGTCCAATCAAGCCTAGCCTGGAAATCGTTTCCTCCAGGGCAGGCAAGACGTTCCGCCATACCCTAGCGTGTCTAGGGCTGCTGGTTACTGTACTCCACTGTACTGAACATCGTCGACATTTGGTCCCGCCAGTCATCTGCCAGGAACACCACAGTTTTCATCAAGCCCCGTCATTCCAGCACGAAATCGTTTCGTTCGCCATAAGAAAATCAGAAGCAGCCCTCCTCGTCTCGTTGCCCGAAGATGGCCCATGTGTGTGGCTAGGACAATGCATGCGATGGTATCATTTGATGCGACCATTGAGGGTGTGGAGCCTAGGATTGCGCAATCCGACTGAGTTGCGCTGGTACGAAATTCGCAAAACTTTCTCCAGGCAAAAGCTTCGCCAACACCGCAACGAGTTGCGCAATTCTGCGTTGCGCAACCCTAGGATCCATGCCTTGAATAGAACTCGCCCAATGGCCTGGCTTTAGGTCTGGCTGGCTGGCTGTAGGGCTCCCTCAGGTTGTGCGTGTGAAGGTGAGAAGGCTGCGTACCCCTCTGCCTCTTCTGGGACCAGTAGCAGAATTTCCGATGCTCTGGGGAGACATTTGAGCTACTTCGGAGCACGCAAGCAGAAGCACGCCTACCCCTGATTGACGAGAATGACAATGGGTTTGCGGTTATTTGTGATAACATCTCCAAGGAAACATAGTTTTGAAGTTTGTGCAAATAAATGTAGTAAGTACCCTAACACAGGAGACGAGAGTGGAAAGCTATGGCGGCTACTAAGGTGACGAGAGTTGGCTTAAAGCCCGCAGTCCGGATTGTCCAAGAAGGGGGGGTTGTTAAACACTTGAAGCTGTGTAGCAAACTTTTTACCAGGGCTGCGGAGGCTGGCGAACTTTTTTGGGGGTTCGCTATCCAACCAATTTTTTTCCCCCAGTTCAACTGCTTTACTTCTGGACAATCCGGACTGCGGGGGCCGACATCACCGCTCTGCATTTGCAGTGCATTATATACAACGACGCCATCGAGGAGTGTGCGAAATGGGTACAGTAAGTGGTGTGGAGCCATAAATCACGCTATGTACAAGGAATAACGAGTACCCCGGTGAAAAAAAAACGCTTTGAGAACGGTCGCTAAGGTCAACTTTTTTTGGGCTTTAAGGAGATCCCAGGAGGAAACCAGGCCCCCTTTCCCACGCCGATCCACCTTTCACACGCTAAGGTCAAAGCCGCATTTTGAACGCACTTAGAAACGGGCAGGTTCCGCAATGGCTCAAGAGGCGTTCAATGTATTCCGTCGTTCCTGTTACGACCATGAATACACTCCCGGTGTCTTGTCAGGCGTTCAATACCATCATGGTCGTTCCTGTTACGGCTACTGATCCGTTTCTTCATGATGGTAGTGACAAGTGACACCCCATAGCTTCGCCATGCATGGTCCGAGACTCGCGCTTATCATCACGGCCACTCCTGCCAGGCGACAGTGTCGCATCGGCTGAAGACGAAAACAACTAACAATGGAACCCTAGTAGCTTTTATCCCTGAACCTCTGCCCCATTTGCACCCCCCGTTTGGTGATAGTCAACCGTGACGAGCCTTGACTCAAAGCTAGTAGGGTCGGACCCTAGACCTGTGACGTCGCAGCAGCAGTCACAGCAGTCGCAGCAGTCGCAGCCGCGGCAATCGCATTTACTCTTTGGCGGGAGCAGAGTCTTTTTCCTCCGCGGATTCAGCATCATCCGCCGGAGCTGAGTACACCTTACGATACGCCAACTGCGGCGGCGGCTTCAGGCAGTGAGACTGCACGCAGGACGTGCTCCGTTCCAAGGCCGTCGCGTCGATCAGCTCGTGGATGACCCGCCGGAAAACACGCCCCCGGCGATGGCTGTCGCAGCCGCGGTGGCCCCCGACAGAGGAATGTTCACGGGTGGCCATTGTGAGACGAGATGCCATTGCGAGGCGGTGGATATTGCGATGGCCGCTCGAAGCATAGGCAGAGGGGATTCCGGGGGACGTGGCAACGCCAAGTATCGGCAGAGGGGACTCCCCTAGGGAAATCGATTCCGGGGAACCCGTTGCAGCTGTGGAATGACGGTCTGTGTGAGTGTCTCGTTAGATTAGACGGGTTCGGGCGTGGCTTCAGTGCAAGCGGCTTCTCCGTCCGGCATGTTCTGAGGGTTTCCTGTTGCGTACTCGACGCTTTATTGAGGCCATTGCGGAGTTTGTGCTAGAACCAGAACCAATGGAGTCTGATTGCAGCCGTTACGATGGTGTTGAGCATACATGTCAGGACAGAAAATGCTGGTGGACATGGATTAGAGGAAGCTAGCGTCTGTAGTGTGGTGGAGAGGACGGTGCTTCTCAAGCAAGACGTCAGCTTCCTCCTAACGCAGGAGCTACTAGACCAGAACTTGCCTTGGAATGGCGGAAATGGGGCCAGCGTCAACGCACGAGACGTTGAAGGTAGTCAACGACGACCTCGACTGGCAGGAGTGTCCTGCACTGTAACTGCCCACTAACGTTGACGCCAGATCGAATAATCTGAGAAACGGTCAAACCCTTCTCTCGAGGCCGCTGAGCGCAATTGTGTCGCACGTTCAGTTCTGCTGAACGGTTTAGTTCACATCTCAAGAGGATTCCCCCACCCCCTCCCCAACCACCCCCTTCCCCTCACGCATCCTTCCCTTCTCAAGCATACACGTTTGAAGTTGCGAAGCTTTGTATTTGAATAGACTATCGAGCCGTATTCTGCAATCTCCTGAGGGATCTGAAAACTCAAGGCTAAAATGGTCAAGGGGGTTGTAATAAGCACAACCTGAAGCACGCGCGAAAATGGCGAATCTCCACTTTCTTGTCCAGCCAAATATTTGTTCCGGTCAACAGCCGCTCTTGCAAGCATCCTAATTCACACATCAATGACTCGCGATAGCTTCTGAATGCGGTTGAGCAGCAGATCGCCCTGCTTCAGCACCGTCTGGTACTGCGCATTCCTTGCATCTGGCCGATTTGTCTCCAGCACCCCCGCCACCTTGTCTATCTTGCAGTTGAGCCGCCCGCTCGCGATGAACAGTGACAACTCCCTGTGTGGGCACGGAGTAGGTGTGTTGAGGGTGTCTAATGGAAGGAGGACAGCCAAAGGAGGGAAACGTGTGAATGTGAGGGGAAAAGGGAGCGGAGGCCTCTTCTTACCGGTCAATGACATAAAAAAGGCAACCACCCCAGCCTCACCGGTCAATGAAGTCCAGCGAAACGCCGAAGCTCCTCGCCATGGCATCCGCCGTGACGCTCTTGTAGCTCTCGAGAAACTGCGAGTACGCCACCACGCGCACCTCCCTCAAGATAAACCGCAAGTGCGGGTGCAGGTAGCGGTCCTCCCTTATGGGCTCCGTCAAGCCCGCTGGGAATGGCGGGGCGGTGGGGAGGAGAGCGGGAGGGCGGGAGGAGTTGAGGCAAGCATGAATGACGAGCACACCTCCCTCAGAATAAGCCGCATGTGCGGGTGCAGGTAGCGGTCCTCCCTTATGGGCTCCATCCGACTCGCTGGGAATGGGCAGTGTGTCTAGAGGGCAGGATGGAAGGGGTGGGGGGGGGACGGATAAGGAAGGAGGGATGAAGCGCATGTGGGGTGCAGGTAGCGAGCGGTCCTGCCGCATCGCCTCTGTGAATTTTGAGTCGACTCAAAATACAGCGGTCCTGCCGCATCGCCTATGTGAAACTGGCTCAGACTGCTGGGGTGGGAGTGAAGGGAGGAAGGAAAGCTGAAGCGCCGGTGAAGGATGAGCTGGGAGGGCTAAAATATGGTCCTACCATTTGGACTCGTCAGACCAGCTGGGAGCAGCGAAGGTCGGGTGCCTTTCTTTGCACGGCGTGCAAAGTCGGGTGTAGTTAGTTATTGGAAGGTGGCTCCTTGATGGCTTGATGGCTTGATGACTTGATGGCTCGATGGCTTGATGGCTCGACGGCTCGATGGCTCGATGGCTCGACGGCTTGATGGCTCGATGGCTCGATGGCTCGGTGGCTCGACGGCCCGATGGCTCGATGGCTGGATGGCTTGACGGCTCGATGGCTTGATGGCTAGATGGCTCGATGGCTCGACGGCTCGACGGCTCGATGGCTCGATGGCTCGACGGCTCGACGGCTCGATGGCTCGATGGCTCGATGGCTCGATGGCTCGATGGCTCGACGGCTCGACGGCTCGACGGCTCGATGGCTCGATGGCTCGATGGCTCGATGGCTTGATGGCTTGCTGGCTTGTTCAGATTGACAGGAGCTCACTGAGTGGCTCTCAGTGTGCGTGCACTGATGCACACATCAGCTGTCTAGGCAAGAATACGAGTGTGCGCTTGCATGTGGAGCCCTCAGATCACAAGGCGTTCCCTACCAGACATACACACGGCCTACTGCACACAGACATGCAGCATCCCTACTCACAGAAGGCATGGAAGAAGTCCTTGTAGTTGCACGCATGCAGGTTGTTGAGGAAGGGAGCCAGGTGGGGGATCTGGTCGATGACTGTCAGGATCTCAGGGGTGTCGATCACCTGATGGGGGGGAAACGGGGGGGAAATGGGGGGGAAATGGGGGGGAAATGGGGGGGGAATGGGGGGGAATGGGGGAGAAATGGGGGGGGAATGGGGGGGGGTTGGGAGAAGGGAAAGGAGGAGATAGAGGGGTTGGGTTGAGGAGAGGTACGCTAATCATGGGAGCGAGGTGCGGGATCTGGTCGATGACTGTCAGGATCTCCGGGGTGTCAATCACCTGGCGGGGGGAAGGGAAGACGGTGGGGGTGGGGGTGGGAAGAAGGGGCATGAGATGAGAGAATTAGGTGGGATCTGGTCGATGACTGTCGGACACTCGGAGGTTATTTTTGAGGCGCCTCAGAATTAGGTGGGATCTGGTCGATGACTGTCGGACACTGGGAGGTTTGGATGACCTGACGGGAAAGGAGGGGTGCGGTGGGCGGTTGCGGCGAAAAGAGGTGCGCGAATCGTGAGAGCAGACCATGAAAGCGAGGTTGGTTGGGGGTCTGATCTGATCTGATGGTGTCGCAGCCTATTTTTTATGCGCCTCAAACGCTTGCTTTTGTAGCAACTAAGGTCGCAGGTGGCCTGAAAGCACACCATGAAAGCGAGGCAGGTTGGGAGCCTGATCTGATGGTGTCGCAGGTGGCAATGGAGTCCAGGGAACAGACCCAGCTGTTGCCCTTTTGAGGAGCCAACGGACCCAGCTGTTGCCCTTTTGAGGAGCCAACGGACCCAGCTGTTGCCCTTTTGAGGAGCCAACAGACCCTCAAGAGCTGGCTTACCTTCTGCAATATGCGGACGCGTTGAGGTTGGCCATGGGTAGGGTGAGGAACTGGTTGGCCATGGGTAGGGTGAGGAACTTGGTGAATGCAACCATGCAACCAGTATGCAACCAGTATGCAACCAGTATCATGATGATTCGATTCTGTTGGCCCCATCATGATCATCATCATCTTCAACCTTCTGGTTGCATGATCGTCATAATCCGTCCCTCCAACCAGTTCCTCGCCATAGCCATGGCCAACCTCAACCCGTACGCGTTCCGCAGCACCCACCTGTTGCTCTTTTGAAAGCAAGTCTATCCAGCGCCATAGCGCTCATGACAAAAGTGTAGAACACCAACGTGCCGCAGAGCAGCAGCTCGTAGATGGTGAAGGTGGCGATGGAGTCAGCTGGGGAACAGACGACCTGTCTACTGCCCTTTAACAGGTGCCTCAGAACGACTCACCTCCTGCTTCGACGCGACTCTATCCAGTGCCATGGCACTCGGTGCAGAAAACGAGGCAGAAAACGAGGGTGCGACTCAGAATGGCTCACCCTCAGTGCCATGGCACTCGGTGCAGAAAACGAGGGTGCGGCACGGCAGGTGGAGCACCCTCGTTTCTGCACCCACCCCTCCACCTGGGCAGCAGCTCCCAGGTGGAGAAAATGAAGATGGAGTCAGCCTAGGAACGGACAAGACGCCTTGTGCGTTTATCAGGTGCCTCAGAACAACTCGCCTTCTGCTTGAGCGCCACTCTATCAAGCGCCACTCTATCAAGCGCCACTGCGCTCATGAGAACGGTGCAGAACACCAGAGTGCGGTGCGGTGTGGTACGGCAGCAGCTCGCAGGTGGTGAAGGGGGCGATGGCGTCCAGAAACACCAGGGTGCGCTGCAGAGTGATCTAAGAGGGGTTCTAGGCGCAAAGCACCTTCTGCTTGAGCGCCACTCTATCAACTGCCAGCGCGCGCATGACACTGGTGTAGCAGACCAAAGTGCGGTGGCGCTAGGTGGTGAAGGTGGCGTCCCCTTTGAGCTGGCTTACGGACTCACTTTCTGCTTGAGGGCAGCTCTACAAAGCGAAACGGCGCTCATCACAACAGTATAGAACACGAGGGTGCGGTACGGCAGCAGCTCGTAGGTGGTGACGGTGGCGATGGAGTCCCCTTTGAGGTGCCTTAAGGACTCACCTTCTGTTTCGGTGCTCGATATAGAGTACGACAGTGCAGGTAGGGCAGCAGCTCGTAGGTGGTGCAGGTGGCAATGGCGTCCAGACATCGGTGATCTGCCTCTTGCCCTACTGGCTTCGATACAAGCACAACGCACCTTCTGCTTGAGCGCCACTCTATCGAGCGCCACCACGCTCATGACAACGGTGTAGAACACGAGGGTGCGGTACGGCAGCAGCTCGTAGGTGGTGAAGGTGGCGATGGAGTCCCCTTTGAGGTGCCTTAAGGACTCACCTTCTGTTTCGGTGCTCGATATAGAGTACGACAGTGCAGGTAGGGCAGCAGCTCGTAGGTGGTGCAGGTGGCAATGGCGTCCAGACATCGGTGATCTGCCTCTTGCCCTACTGGCTTCGATACAAGCACAACGCACCTTCTGCTTGAGCGCCACTCTATCGAGCGCCACCACGCTCATGACAACGGTGTAGAACACGAGGGTGCGGTACGGCAGCAGCTCGTAGGTGGTGAAGGTGGCGATAGAGTCGAGGAAGAGGTCCGCCGCCCGGGCGAAGTTGCGCGAGGCGAGACAATAGAGGCCCTCGTACACCTTGAGGCGATTCTTGCGCTCCCAGTCGCCCCCCTCCTCTAGGAGCCTGGGGGGAATGGGGGGATGGGGGTAATGGGGGGGTCAAGCATGGCGTTGGAGTGGGGGTTGCGCGATGCCAAGCAGTAGAGCCCCTCGTACACCTTGAGGCGGTTTTGCGCTCCCAGTCGCCCCCCTCCTCTAGGAGCCTGGGAGGAGAGGAGAGGGGTGGAGGGAACACGGGAGGGGGGAGGCAGGCATTGGTCACTGGCGAGACAGTAGACGCCCTCACACACCTTCGGGCAGTTCTAGTGCTCCCAGTCTCCCCCCTCGTCCACCATTCTGGGAGAGGGACGGCAGGGGAGAGGGGAAGAGGGGACAGGGGAAGAGGGGAAAGGAAGGGAGAGTGGGGGTGGGGGGGAGGGCACGGTAGGTGGAGAAGGTGGCGATCGAGTCAAGGAAACAGGTCAGCCCAGCTGCCGAAGCAAAGTTGCGCAGAGCCAGGCAGTAGAGGTGCTCGTACACCTTGAGTGTACGAGAGCCCCCAATCGCCTCCCTTTTCCAGTGGCCTTAGGAAGGGGAGAAAGGTTGAGGGGAAAGAAGAAGGGAGCAGGGGGGAGGACCTCAAGAAGGGTATTGTTGAAAGGCCAGGCAGTAGAGGACCTCATACAGTGCGACCTCAAGAAGGGTACTGTTGAAAGGCCAGGCAGTAGAGGACCTCATACAGTGCAACTCACTTTCAGTGCTAATCGAGTGGCACTCCCACACTTTAAGATGCAAACCACCCGAGCCACGCGAACCACCCGAGCCACGCGAACCACCCGAGCCCAACTCACTTCTTGGCTTTATGGAGGTTGGAGGAGATGCAGGGGAAGTCGAGGTGGAAGAAAGCTACTCACTTCAAGTGCTACACGCGCTCTTACAATGCGAACCACCCGAGCCGAGTGCCCAACTCACCTCTTGGCTTTGTGGAGGTTGGAGGAGATGCGGGGGAAGTCGAGGTGGAAGCATGCCTTAGCACCACCGACACCACTCGCTTATTGCGCTCGTATCAACCGAACCACCTGGAGCGCCAACTCACTTCTTAGCTTTATCGAGGTTGGAGGAGATGAGGGGGAAGTCGAGGTGGAAGCATGCCTTAGCACCACCGACACCACTCGCTTATTGCGCTCGTATCAACCGAACCACCTGGAGCGCCAACTCACTTCTTGGCTTTCTCGAGGTTGGAGGAGATGAGGGGGAAGTCGAGGTGGAAGCATGCCTTAGCACCACCGACACCACTCGCTTATCGCGCTCGTATCAACCGAACCACCTGGAGCGCCAACTCACTTCTTGGCTTTATCGAGGTTGGAGGAGATGAGGGGGAAGTCGAGGTGGAAGCATGCCTTAGCACCACCGACACCACTCGCTTATCGCGCTCGTATCAACCGAACCACCTGGAGCGGCAACTCACTTCTTAGCTTTATCGAGGTTGGAGGAGATGAGGGGGAAGTTGAGGTGGAAGCATGCCTTAGCACCACCGACACCACTCGCTTATCGCGCTCGTATCAACTGAACCACCTGGAGCGCCAACTCACTTCTTGGCTTTATCGAGGTTGGAGGAGATGAGGGGGAAGTCGAGGTGGAAGCATGCCTTAGCACCACCGACACCACTCGCTTATTGCGCTCGTATCAACCGAACCACCTGGAGTGCCAACTCACTTCTTGGCTTTATCGAGGTTGGAGGAGATGAGGGGGAAGTCGAGGTGGAAGCATGCCTTAGCACCACCGACACCACTCGCTTATTGTGCTCGTATCAACCGAACCACCTGGAGCGGCAACTCACTTCTTAGCTTTATCGAGGTTGGAGGAGATGAGGGGGAAGTCGAGGTGGAAGAAAGCCACTCGCAGAGCGTGGAAGACGAGGTCCATCTTGAGACCCACGGCTACCGTCTTGGCCTTGGTGGCCTCCAGCTGCTCCAGTGCCTTGTCCTGCACAGTCGGGGGGGGGGGTAGGGGGGGAAGGGGGGGGAGGGGGGAAGGGGGGGAGGGGGGGGAGGGGGGGAAGGGGGGGAGGGGGGAAGGGGGGGAGGGGGGGGAGGGGGGGAAGGGGATGGGCGGGGAAAGGGGGAAGAAGGAGGCAACAATGCGCGTGGGAACACCAGGTCCTTCAGCACAGCAGCTGTTGTGGCTCCAGCTGTTCCAATGCCTTGCCCGTTGCCAGGATGGCCTCGCGCACCTCCGGGCTCCCCTCCCTCACACCCTGCCTTTCCCCTCACTCCCTACCTGCCGCCCCCATTCCCCCCCCCCTCACCTTATCCCCCATGCGGATAGCCCCATTGCCAGCATTGCCCCCCCTCCCACAAACCATCCACGATCACGAACCTCACTCTCCCCTTCTCCCTTTCTCATGCACTACCCGTCTTCCACAAACACCTTCCCCATAGCATCCCTCCTCTATTGCCCTCCCTTTCCCCCCGCCCCTCCCACAAACCATCCACGCGCACCTTATCCCCCACGCGGATGAAGTAGAGCGCCTTTGCCAGCATCGCCTCGCGCACCTCGCTCTCACCCAGATTCTCCTCCGCATCCTTGATCCTGGGGGGCGGGGGGGGAGGGGGAAGAGCGGCCGCATGGGGCACGAAAGCCACAGCCTTCACAAACAGACCCCTTTAGACGACACCTCGCTCTCCCCCAGATTCTCCTCCGCGCCCTTGTTCCTTGAAGGGGGGCGGGGGAGAGGCGAGGGCATGGGGGAGGGGGTGAGCGCATGGCGGGGCGAGGGCATGGGAAGGGGGGCGTGGGCACGGGAAGGGGGGCGTGGGCACGGGAAGGGGGGCGTGGGCATGGGGAGGGGGGCGTGGGCATGGGGAGGGGGGCGTGGGCATGGGGAGGGGGGCGTGGGCATGGGGAGGGGGGCGTGGGCACGGGAAGGGGGGCGTGGGCACGGGAAGGGGGGCGAGGGCACGGGGAGGGGGGCGAGGGCACGGGAAGGGGGGCGAGGGCACGGGGAGGGGGGCGTGGGCATGGGGAGGGGGGCGTGGGCATGGGGAGGGGGGCGTGGGCACGGGAAGGGGGGCGTGGGCACGGGAAGGGGGGCGAGGGCACGGGGAGGGGGGCGAGGGCACGGGAAGGGGGGCGAGGGCACGGGGAGGGGGGCGTGGGCACGGGAAGGGGGGCGTGGGCACGGGAAGGGGGGCGTGGGCATGGTGAGGCGGTGGAGGGCACGGGAAGAGAACAAGGCACGGAAAACAGACACTTAAAGCAGACTCCTTAATACCGCACCTCGCTCTCACCCAAATTCTCCTGTGCATGGGAAGGGGTGGCGTGCGGCTGAGGATAAGCGATTAACAGAGGACACACAAGCATGCCCCACCCCACCATACTGCGGCGAGGCGCGGCTCGCTCCCCCGCATGTTTTTTGCCGCGTCCTCAGTGCCGCATGTCATCCTCCACCCACTACCCCCCCACCCTCTCCCCCACCCCAAGAGAAAATCAACACACACTCGATTATCATCCAGATTTACCCCCCCCCGCTATCTTTGAGGCGCCTCAAAAATAGACTCCTCACGCCCAGATTTACCCCCCCAAAAAATCTGGCTGGGTGGCTGGCTGGGTGGCAGGCTGGGTCTGGAGGCTGGGTGTGGAGGCTGGGTGCCTCAAAAATAGACTCCTCACGCCCAGATTTACCCCCTCCCGCTATCTGCGTCAGCACTTCATCCACCCCTCAATCCCACCCACTCCTACTAACCTGCTCCTCTACCCCCCCCACCCCCCCTTTTCTCTTTCGCTCACTTGTCGTCCAACATGACCACCTCCTCCGCTATCCTTGCCTGCATCGCCTCAATAGCCACCCACCCAGCCACCCAGCCACCCATCCAGCCACCCAGCCACCCATCCAGCCACCCACCCACCCATCCAGCCAGCCAGCCACCCAGCCACCCATCCAGCCACCCAGCCACCCATCCAGCCACCCAGCCACCCATCCAGCCACCCAGCCACCCATCCAGCCACCCAGCCAGCCACCCAGCCACCCAGCGAGCCACCCAGCGAGCCACCCAGCCAGCCACCCAACCATCCACCCAGTCACCCACCCAGCCACCCACCCAGCCACCCACCCAGCCACCCACAGACACACACTCACTTGTCATCCAACTTCACCACCCCCTCCGCTATCCGCGTCGGCATCGCCTTAAACAGGCAATCCCACCCACTCCTATGCGCCTGGCTCCCCCTTTCCCCACTCTCCTCCCCTCTTCACTCACTTGTCGTCCAGCTTCGCTAAGTGAGTGAAGCTGGAGGAGGTAGCGAAGCTGTACGACCTGAGTTATCCTTGTCTGCATCGCCTCGACCTGAGTTCCTTCAACAACCCACCGGCCACCGATTCAATCAACCACCCACAAGCAAACCCACAGACCCAAATACCCACTCACCTCCGCTATCCTTGTCTGCATCGCATCCACCTTTTCCTGCTGCACCTCCCACCCGCTGACACCGACTCAAGCGACTTAAAGGCTCTTGGGGCTCAAACAAGCCCCCCTTCGCCCCCCAATTCACTCACTTGTCGTCCAACTTCGCCACCTCCTCCGCTATCCGCGCCTGCATCGTGCCAATCCCACCCATTCTATGCTCCGGCTTTGCTTCCACCTTCCCCCCGATCCCCTCTGGTCTCCCCTCTTCCTCCCTTGCACTCACTTGTCGCCCAAATTCGCCACCTCCTCCGCTATCCGCGCCTGCATCGCCTCCACCCGTCAATCCCACCCACTGCTACTAACCTGATCCTTTGCCCTCCTTTCTCCACACGCCCCCCCAACCCCTTCTCTCCTCTGTCCCCTTCCCCACTCACTTGTCGTCCAGCTTGACCACCTCCTCCGCTATCCGCGCCTGCATCGCCTCCACCTTCTCCTGCTGCACCTCCCACCCGTACTCGCTGCTGCCCGCCACGTACAGCGTCGCCAGGTCTGTTGGTTGGGGGGGGGGGGGGGGTTGGGGGGGAGGGGGGGGGGGGGTGGGGGGGGGGGGGCAGGAACGTTAGTTGCTGCACCTCCCACCCGTAGTCGCTGCTGCCCGCCACGTATAGCGTCGCCAGGCCTGGCAGGAGTGAGGAGAACGGGGAAGAAGACCGAGGAGAGCAGGAGACGGATTGTGGAAAGGAGAAGGATAGTGGAAGGGAGAAGGATAGTGGAAGGGAGGTGAACATAGACTGCAAATTCCATCCATACTCGCTGCTGCTGACCCCACGTACAGGGTGGCCACGCCACGTGTCAAGACGCCTCAAACCGTTACTAAGGAGCCTCAACACACACTCTCGACACGCAAGGAAGGGAGATCTGACAGGCATTGCCTTAGACGACCATGGATTTAAAAAAAAAACAAAAAAAAACGAGCCCGCTTCCACGAGTTTTCTTAGAATTCTCAAAAAGCCTCTCACAGGGCTGAAATGCCATCCGGCTGGCCGAATCCAGTATGCTGATATGATCACGAATTCACATGAACTGATCAAATCCAGAATATACGTGAACCAATCAAATCCATAATCCAAGTGCTTGCCACGAAGGTAGCTAAGGTAAAGGGAGCCTTCTGATTGCGAAATCGATCTAGAATCCAGATTTATTAGACATCGGACTCCGTAGGCTGACAAGGGTATGCCAATCGTCAGACGCGTCAGTACTCGTCAGGGAGACATCCGTTACTAGGGATGCTCACATCGATGCTATCGCTTCTCGCTACAAGCACGCGCCGTACCATCACGGAAGATCTCTTCGAGCACTTCGTCCTTTATCCGAGCCTTATCGAGATCCGACGTGGACGGCAGGCGCAGCAGGAAGAGCTTCTGCGCGAGCACGAGCTTCGGATCCTGCGACTCGCCGGCCTCCGCTCCTGCTGCTGCTGCTGCGGACGCCTCGGGTGCATCGACCATGGCGGCGGGGGCGAAGCTCGTCTAAGCGTTCGGTAAGAAAAAAAGCGGTGGAGCGATGATTCGACAGAGGAGAGGAAAGCTCGGGATTGGACCGGACGATGAGACTAGCGACGAATTGAGGCGGTCAGATGAAATGGATTAGTATGCGGATGACGCTGCGCTTTATTAGTGAAACCGCAATGGTACGGAGGACAAATATTCAACGAGACTCAGCTCGGCTTAGCACTCAGCTGGATCTGAACTAGACTCAGGGGCGTGTTTAGAAGATATCAGGGATACCGGGAGTCGATCAGAATTCAGGGGTCGCTTTACTCGACCTGGCATTGGTTCTGAAAAAGCTTCGGGTCGGGGTTCCCTGTAGTGAAACTCCCCTTAGGGCGTGTCCAGCGCGTACGTTTGATTACGGTTGGGTGAGGTGCCTCACGGATCAGAAGGTTCGATAACAAATCTAAAACGGTTGGGTAGGGTTTTGACCAAAAAGCTACGCGCTGGACACGCCCTTAGCCTTACCCAAACATGTGACAGCCGAAGTTCGGATTGGGCCCTCTGCAGCGCAACTGTTTCTGCGTTCGGTTCAAGTCGTTTTTGAGCGGTGGAATACAGTGCATCTGCTTCTCAAAAAATTTACTAGATGCGTGTTACAATCCCAAGCACCACTTGGGGGACAACTTAGGTCCCTAGCGCAAAGGTCCCAGGCGTTCGTTTTCTCTACTCCAGAGTAATAAACGTCTGCTTTTGCTTGCAGCACACCTCACTGTACCGCAAGCAGACATACGTTTGGGACACGCCCTTAGATAGCCAATGTTCAACTAGCCCACGGCACTCCAACCACTCCGCTCCATGCATAGCACACAGATATCCATCCAGCATCAACGGCGGGGTGGGGTGTGAACGCTTCAAACACAAAGCTCAGCACAGCCATGTCCCGGCCAACCAGCCTGGCTCAGGTTCCCCCACATGAGCAACTCAAAACCCACGCCAACACGCTCTTCAGCATGCCTTCCCTCGGCTCTCCTTGCACAACTTCCTGTAGCGCTGTCACTCGTCGCAGCACCACTGGTGGGGCATGTAGGCCCCAAACACAAAGCTGAGCACAGCCATGTCATTACCACTCGCCAGGCTCAGGTATCCCCGTGCCAGAGCGCTCTGCCTGCCCTCCCTCGCTCTGTGCACCGCCGCTTGATGCATTCCCACAAGCCTCTCCGCCATGGCTGATGTGCTCTCCTTCTCCCTCTGCTGCAGCTGCGTCCCTTTCTCCACCTGCTTCCCCCTCCCCTCCTGCTTCCCCCTCCCCTCCTGCTTCCCCCTCTCCTCTTCCTCCTCCTCCTCCTCCTGCTGCTGCTGCTGCTGCTGCATCCCTTTTGTTTCCTTCTGCATCTCTTCCATCTCCCCCGTACTCTGCTCCTCTTCTCCCTCTGCTTGCCTCTCCTCCTCCTCTACCTTCTTGCCTTTCTCCTGCTGCTCTTCCCCCCCCCAAATCTCATCCCCCTCCTCCCCTTCCTCAACCCCTAACCCCCCGTCATGATCCACGGCAATCCCCTCCATCTCCATGTCCTCAACCTCCGTTCTTGATTTTATCCGAGCCCCTTCCACGGTACTCCCCTCCTCTTCCTTCTTCCCTCGCGCTTCCTCCTCTTCCTCCTCTTCCTCCTCTTCCTCCTCTTCCTCCCCCATTCCAACTTCCGCCTCGCCAACCCTCACCTTGCTGTCAGCCTCAACTCCCTGGCCCATGACAGGCCCCACTCTCCTTCTGCCACTTCCCAAGTTAACATCTGACTCCCCATCCCCATCCCCCCTACTATCCCTATCTACATCCATGGCTCCAGCATCTGCCGCCTCTGCTGCTGCACCCAGCTGGCTCCCTGCAGAATCCTTGACACCAAAACCCACTTCTCCTGCTTCTCCTCCTACAGTTCGCTTCTTACAATTCTCAAGAGCCAGATGCTTTCCAGCAGAATCCTTGACATCACCCGCCATATCACCCGCCACATCACCCGCCACATCACCCACCACATCACCCGCCTCGCCTCCTGCCTCCCCGCCCCACCACCTGAAAGCGTCCCATTTCAACCCGTCAGCCGGAAACCCCTCTCTGAACCGCATGAGCACATCCGACCTCACCTCTCTCTCTCTCCCTCTCCCCCCATCTACCGCACCTGCTGCAGCTGCCCCTCCCGTTACTCTTGCCGGCGCCTCGGCAGCTGTGCCTAGCCTTCCTCTTCCTCCTCCGCTCACTGTTACCAGTGCCTCTGCAGCTGTGCCTGTTGTTCTCCCTCTCCCTCCTTCCCTTCCTGCCGCATCTCCAGGTGTAGTCACTGCAGCAGCACCTTCAACTTTCACAGCAGCACCAGCACTAGCAACAGCAGCAGCATCAGTGCCAGGAGCAGCGGGAGGTGGGGCAATAGGGGCAGATAGCTGTCTGACGGCTATATTGTCCCTTCGCCTTGCGAGAGGTAGGGGGAATGGGAAGGGGAAGGTGGGAGGGTTCTGCAGGGGGAGAGAGAGCGCCAGGTCAAACGCACTCGGAACCTTTCCTCTCACCCTCCCTGCTCTTGCTGCTGCAGCTGCAGCTGCAGCAAGAGCGGCGGCTGAAGTAGCGTTGGTCTCATCCTCGTCATAGTATCCCTCAGTATAAGCCTCAGGTGCTGGAGCCTCTGCTGCAGGCTTGATAGCAGCAGAAGTGGGGGGCATGCGAGTAGGAGCAGAAGGAGCAGCAGGAGGAGCAGCAGGAGGAGCAGCTGGAGGAGCAGCAGGAGGAGGAGGAGCAGGAGCAGTAGCAGAAGGAGCAGGGTGGGGGTGGGGAGCAGTGGGAGCATGGAGATGGGAAGTGGCACGTGCTGCTGCTGCAGTGGACCTAAGAGGAGCGGCAGAGGGCGCCAGATTGGCTGCTGATGCCAACGCTGGAATGGCACCTGGACGTGCACCTGAACCAGCACCTGCACCGGCACCTGAACCAGCACCTGCACTGGCACCTGAACCAGCACCTGCACCGGCACCGACACCTGAACCAGCACCTGCACCGACACCTGCACCTGCTGCCCCTGGAACGCCAGCAGTAGCACCAGCAGCACCAGCAGCAGCACAAGCAGCACCAGCCGCACGAGCAGCACGAGCAGCAGCAGCAGCAGCCACAGCAGCTCCTGCAATAGTACCAACAGCACCACCAGCACCACCAGCACCACCAGAGGCAGCAGTAGCAGCAGCAGCGGCAGACGCTCCTGCCGCCCCTGGAGGCTTGACTGGCCCCTTTACCAGAATCGGACGGAAGTTGCCGCCCGTGCCTGGCACCAGGGTTTGAGCCTTTGCATCAACAACACCAGCACCCATGGCTACTGCTGCTGCTGGCGCTGCTGCTGCTGCTGCTGCTGCTGCTGGCGCTGCTGCCTCTCCTCCTCTTCCTCCTCTTCCTCCTCTTCCCCCTTCTCTTCCTCCTCCTCTACCTCCTGCTCCCCCCGCAGCTCCTGCTCCTCCTGGCCCTCCTCCTCTGCCTCCTCCTCCGCCTGTTCCTCTCCCTGCTCCTGCTATACCCCCCACTGCGGCAGGCGAATTAGCTACAGCAGCCGTACCAGAAATCCCGCCCCCAGAAGTGCCTCTTCCCATTGCTGCTACAGTCCCTGCTACAGCCGGCACCACTGTCCCTGATGCTACAGCCGCAGCTGCTGCTGGTGCTGGTGTCGCTGCTGCTGCTGCTCCTGCTGCTGCTGCTGGCCCAGGTGGTACCATCCCAAAAGGGACTGGGACGGCAGGAAGCGCCGAAACAAGCCGCCCAGCCCCCATTGATGTTGAATAAACCCCGGGCCGGCCTGATACTGTTGCCGCCGCTGGTGCTGCTAGGAGGGGCCTGGAAACTGCCAAGGTTGAACCCCCCGCAGCAGGGCCAGCAGCAGAACTCGCACCGGCCACAGCAGCAAGAGCAGCAGCAGTTGCAGCGGCAGAAGCAGGACCAGGAGCAGCCCCTGCGGGCGTGAGGGAGGGAGAAGCTGGCGCAGCAGCCGAGGCTGCGGCAGGAGCAAGAGGAGGAGGAGGAGTAAGTGGCTGGGACAGAACAGCCGGAGGAGTGGCGAGAGCAGGGGGACGGGTCAAGGCAGAGGAAGAGGCGAGTATAGGGGGGTCTGAAACGGGCTGCTGGGGAGCAAAAGGCTCAGAGCCGGGTTCTCCTCCCACCCTTCCTTTTCCTACCGCTGCTCTTGCTCCTCTGCCTCTTCCTGCTGCTGCTTTTGACCCTCTGCCTGTTCCTGCCCCTGCCCCTCTTCCTGCTGCCTTTCCTGCTCCTCTTCCTGCCCCTGCCCCTGCTCCTACTCCTGCTCCTCCTATTGCTCCTGCTTCTCCACCCGCTGATGCTATTGTTTGTGATGTCTGCTGGTGCTGCTGCTGCTGCTGCTGGTGCTGCTGGTGCTGCTGGTGCTGGTGCTGCTGCTGCTGCTGGTGCTGGTGCTGCTGTAGCTGCTGTTGACGTTGCTGCTGCATCAGCTGCAGCCGCTGCTGCTGCAGCTGGAACTGCTGGTGATGCTGCAGCAGGTGCGGCGGGATTGGCTGCTGCTGCTGCTGCTGCTGCTGCTGGAGAAACATCTGGCGCTGCTGCTGCAGCATCATTTGCTGCTGCTGCTGCTGCTGCTGCTGCTGCTGCTGCTGGTACTGCAGGTGCTGCTGCAGGGATGGATTCAGCGCTGGCGAAGACAGCCGCCTAGGGGTTGGGAAGAAACGAGACATGAAAGGAACAAGAGGTGGAACAATGGGCTTCAATAATCATTCTAAAGGGAGTCACAACAACTTATTTATTTTTAAAAATGTCAATAGTGCTACTGGTAAGTTATCCCATTTCAACAATAAAGTGCATTCAGTGTCTTTGAGAGGAACAGAGAGAAGAGAAGAGACTTACTGCGATGACAACATGGGCTGGGAGAAAGCAGACGCGGCACTGGCGGCAGCCGCTGCAGCATTGTTAGCTGCAGCTGCTGCAGAGGCAGGGAGAGCAGCAGCAGGCGTCCGGAGAGCGTAAGGGGACACCCCCACGGGCACCTGCATTCCTGCTCCTGCCTGCATGCCCGCTCCCGGCTGCATGCCTGCTGCTCCAGACAGCAGCGGCGACAGCAAGGGGAGAGAGGCTTGGGCCGGCGCCGGGGAATGCGAGGGATGGGGCGAACGAGCATGCATGGCGGGGGAAGGCTGCGCAGGGGAAAGCAGCTGAGAAGAGGCGGAGAGATGAGCAGAGAGCTGGGCAGCTGAGACGGATTTGGGAGCGGGTGAGAGATGGGTGGGATGGTGGGAGTGCGCGGAGGAGGAAGCGGGTGGGGGTGTGGGGGAGGAGGAGTGGGGGGAGGTGTCTCCAGTGCTGCTGGTGCCCGGCGTGGTGGCTCCTCCTGCTTGCTCCTCGGCTAGTGCTGTTGCTGCATCCCGCTTTATCTCCTCTATGGTCTTGCCTGCTGCGATCTGGAGAACAGAGTGAAGGGCGAGTGGGGGGAGAGGCTTTGAGTCGACTCAAAAGCTTTCAGCCAAAAGGCCGTTGCTGCATCTCGATTTACCTCCTCTCTCTATGGTTTTGCCTGCTGTGATCTGCGAAGCAAATGGGGGGAGGGGGGCGAATGGGGGAACAAGAATGGGGAGACGTGTCCCTGGTGCTGCTGGTTGGTGCCCGTGGTGGTGGCTTCTACTTACTCCTCGGCTAGTGCTGCTGCTGCATCGCGCTTGATTTCCTCTAAAGTCTTGCCCGCTGCCATCTGGAGAACAGAGGGGTGGAGCGATGGGGAGAGAGAGGGAGGAGGAATGGGGGGAGGTGTCTCCAGTGCTGCTGGTGCCCGTGGTGGTGGCTCCTGCTTGCTCCTCGGCGAGTACTGTTGCTGCATCCCGCTTGATCTCCTCTACGGTCTTGCCTGCTGCGATCTGGAGAACGAAGTGGAGGGGGAGAGAGGGAGGAGGATGGGGGAGAATTCACGTAAGGAGGATGGGGGAGAATTCACGTAAGGAGGAGGGGGAGAATTCACGTAAGGAGGAGGGGGAGAATTCACGTAAGGAGGAGGGGGAGAATTCACGTAAGGAGGATGGGGGAGAATTCACGTAAGGAGGAGGGGGAGAATTCACGTAAGGAGGAGGGGGAGAATTCACGTAAGGAGGAGGGGGAGAATTCACGTAAGGAGGAGGGGGAGAATTCACGTAAGGAGGATGGGGGAGAATTCACGTAAGGAGGAGGGGGAGAATTCACGTAAGGAGGAGGGGGAGAATTCACGTAAGGAGGAGGGGGAGAATTCACGTAAGGAGGATGGGGGAGAATTCACGTAAGGAGGAGGGGGAGAATTCACGTAAGGAGGAGGGGGAGAATTCACGTAAGGAGGAGGGGGGAGAATTCACGTAAGGAGGAGGGGGAGAATTCACGTAAGGAGGATGGGGTGAATTCAGGTAACGGTGTGGGTTACGTTTTACATGTGACAGATATGGAATCTGACCAGGAGAGCAAATGCGGGAGAGAGACGAGGAGGAGGGAGGGGTTCAAAATAGACCCGGGGGGGGTGGGGGGGGAGGGAGGGAGGAGAGGGGGAGAGTACGAACTTACTAATCCAAAATAAAAACGGAAAAGGCTCACCTTTCTGAAGGGCCACTTTGGTATGCCGTTCTCGCGACATATCCTTTTCAAGACAGCGTTGCTCGCACCTGAAGAGAGGAAAGCGGAGGAGAATTAAAAACACTGGGTAAAAGGGGAAAAAACCTTCTTACTCATAGCCCGAGGCTATGCGCTGTGCACGGAGTTCTCTGGACACTCAGAGTAACATTGTGATTTGTTTTTGAGAATTCCAAAAAATAAACACCCGTCTGTGCACGGAGTTCTCTGGACAATCAGAGGCTGCACTAGGGAGGAACAAAACGATAATCAATTGAGGGTGCGACGGAGGTAGGGAAACGGTAGCGAGGGGTGGAGAAAGGTCGAACGGGGTAAGACGGGGAAGTAACGCAAGAAAACAGCGGTTCAGTGGAAAGCGATGCTATCCGCTACTAAGCAGCGATAAGTTTTCTCGCTGCTGAGTTTCCACGCTGTTTTCTCGTTTTCTTATTTGAAAACAAGAGAGAGCCGTTCGACACGCACCCAGACGAGCCGATGCGTCGACAAGCGTCGACCCGAAGTGCTTCGAAACCTCCTCATAAGACAGCTCTCGCTCTCGCTTCGACATCGTGTCAGGCAATGATTGCGACTCGTGCTTCTTATAATCGAAACGCACTCGCGCGCAGGCACCCGCTGTTCCCGGAAAATCGCGCGGGTATCACGCATCTAAGGAGGCTCAGTTAGTTCGGGTCAGGAAACGCGTAGTTCTGGGCCGCGTCCAAGAACCGTCAAACCAGTCGAAGGGCCGCCAGAGGGTGCTTGGAGTGCGGCACGGGGTTTGAAAATTACGGATCAAAAGTTTTCGATGACGCAAAGCGACGCGACAACCTCCCTGACCCAGAGAAGGTTGAGCCGAAGAAGCTGATCTGTAAGGAATGGATAAACAGACAGGAAGAAAATGGAACAGCCTGTAGGTTGGCTGATGGATGAACTCCTTATCGTGCGAATGCTGGATAGATTGTTAAAATGTTGGAAATACACTTTGGAGGTGTATACTCTGTTCTCGTTGTCCCTGCGTGTACGGGTGGCCTGCATATATCGTGTACGGAGGGAGAGGTCGCCAGCTTTTTCATCGATCATGTCACAGTCCATACGATCTGTCGAATTGAACGATGGTGAGTTCCAGGTGACGAAGCACTCCGATTTTGACGGAACGGAAAACAAATGAGGGTTCCGTCAACAAAAGGTGTCCCCGGTCTGTCATTGTCACCATTTTCATCCTTGTCCCGTCTTCACTTTCATACAAGCCAACCTCCATCAGTCAGCTTTCATTCCGTCAGTTCTGGCACAGCTGGTCTCCATATCGAATCAGTGTTATCTAGCTCTGCGGACCTTTCTGTTTCTGGCTGCTCTTTCGTTCAGTCATCCAACAGGCACATTCCACTTCACTCGATCGCCAAGTAAGATGGAGTCGGACAGACGAATGCGTATTTGAAGCTCGCGTGAACGTTTTGGTTGCAGGTATACTACGAGCCAAATTCGGAGCTCTTGTAGTTTTCTTTCCATGACAAAACACAGTCGGGAGCAGATAAGCTATGTGGAGGTAGAAAAACATTTCAACCTTCCAATTCTTGAAGCTGCTGCGCGACTTGGTCAGTTGACGTACCCGCAGCCGCTTTATTCCAGCCTTGCTTCAAAATACCTCGAGTCGTTTTTTTTCATGGCTTCGTTATCGTTGCGTGATCGTGCCGTCGTAGCTCCCAAGTGGCTAGCCCAGCGGACGTCGTCAACTTACAGCCTCGTTTTATATATCAGGTGTATGCAACGCTACGTTGAAGAGGGTCTGCCGCGAAAATGGTGTTCCCAGATGGCCTTACCGAAAGGTACGGTCCGTTTTATTGCGTTGCTGACGAACTGCAAACTGCCTCGTGTGCGTTCTTTCCGCAGTTAAACTCGCCAATCCTTTGTTTTAAGCCGCATGCGTCAGTCATCTTTCCCTTTCCTCTTGAGGCCCCATTTTCCAGCTTATGGCGGGTAAAACAATGGATGAAATCAAGCGTGATGCAGCCTTACTCTCATTGCAAGGCGCCGGCACATCCACATCATCCTCAAATAATCAGAGCCCAGTGTCGTCCATTGCTGATGCTGTGCCATCTGCACCAAGCGTCGCGTTGGGATTTGGCCAAGGCACCGGCAACGACTCCTCATCCTTGTAAGTGTCATGAATAATCCTTTGGTCACTGTTTTTCTTTCCAAAATCAGTAGTCAGAAAGGCCTTATCCACTGATGTCGTGTTGGCTTTTGAATGAACGGCATCTCTCTCAACATAAATGGTTGTGCTGCAGATCACCACCAGTTCTGCCACTGACAACAGGAAGGCAGGGTCGTGTGAGCTGGGACGCAGCAAGGAATAACAACGGAGCTGTGGCTGCCATGGTTTCAGGACACCATTGGGATGGGCTTTTTGGGAGCAATTTGAGGAATGAGAATGGACCAGCACTGGTAGTTGATATGAAGCAAGCCCAGCAGCAAGAACAGTTAACAGCTGTGCCATGGTTGCGTAGATCTTACATAACCTAGGGTGGATGTTCTCAAATAGGTATTGACTTTCCCCTTGGCCATTAGGCTGCCTGTTTTGAAGATGATGAAGGAACAAGGCATGTATAGAGTTAAGATGAATATCATAAAATAGTTACAGTACTAATGAGCAGACCCTGCCTTCTTGTACAATGATACATAGACACGTCTAGTACGCCAGACTAAGACGCCAGTCAATAGTGCCCCAATCCAGCAGACTCCCACCATGATTGTGAAAGTCAGCCGGAAGCAATGGGCTCCAATGCATTCAGTGAACTCTGATGAGCCAAGCCTCCATGAGCTACCATTAAATGCTTGACCCTTGTGAGCCTCATAGTCGTAGAGGTACCCAGCGATCACACTTGAAAACAGGTAGGAACCCACTGGTGTAGCAGCCGCCACGGCATTGAAGATCAAGCCGAAGTTTTTTAGCCCAAAGAGCTCACTCACGGTTGCAGGCATCACAGCCCAGTGAACGCCGTAGCAAAGCCCAACAATGAGAGAGCCGATATGTAATGAGTATGGGAAGGCTATGGCGTAAATGGCATGGCCGGCTGACATCACAATCTGCGCCACAAGAAGCAGCAGTGGCCTTGGAAGGAGATAGCTTCTGCAAATACTAACATGTGACAACAGTCAGTCAGTTAACCAGATAAGTTGAACACAACCAATATCACGTGTAAAACTTACTTGACCAGGTGCTCTGAGCAATATCCTCCCGCAAGACGCCCAATAAAGTTCCACACGCTAACCAGCGAAACAAACAGTTGCACCCGGCTGTAGCCCTGGGAGGATGCCATTTGTGCCAGGTTGTTGATTGCCGTCAACCCAGAACCACAACCACAAATGTAGGAGAGCACAAGCAACCAAAAATCCGCCTTTCGAAGAGCTTCGATGAGTGTGAAATCCTCACCGCGTCTGGGCCCCTTTCTTCGCGTCCGTACAGCACCTTCTCCAACTGCTAAAAGGATCTGGGAACTCCTCCTCCTATTCAACTGTCGTTGAACAGCTTCGTCCAATCCCCTATGATGAACAACGAGGACTGGGTGAGGGTTGATAGTTCTCTCATTGTCAGGCATCAACAAACCTTTCTCAGGATGGTTGAAATTTGCTGATTGGTGTCCATCACTTTCTGAACTCAGAAGACTATGTGGACTCTGCACCAAAAGACAAAGATAACCATTAATAACTGGGACAGAAACTTCAAGCGTCTCAATTAGCATCCCTTAGGAATTTCAAGGAAGGTGAACACTCACGCAATGTAGAGGCTGCACTTCTTTGTCATCTTCAGCTGGTGTCTCAGATGGACTTAAGTCAGAAAAGATCGAGTCTGTGCTTAACACTCGATGCATGAGGGGTTGCAGTATGTCATCAGCTTCTCTTACATCCACCTCTCCATTGCACTGCTCATCTTTATTTGAATGATGTCGTGAATTGAGTTGAAAGTCTTCCAAATAGTGGGCAGCCGGGACAGCCAGAGGCGTAATCAGAAAGAACATCATACCGAAAAAAATCCACGCCCGAATCTGCCAGAAATTAACGCTTTTAATGATTCCAGCATTCCATATTAACGGAGCAACTTTTCTCGCCTGGACGCACCTGAGATGTTAGCTCCACTTGATCTTCAACGAAGATTGCTACGAGAAGGTAGCACGCCAGACCCGTACAGGACAAAACGACCGTCTCAAAGTTTTTCTTCTCCTCGATATCGTCGTGTAAGACCCGGTTTTCTGACCTGCACAAAAGCGACGTTAGAGTTTCTTTCCCCTAATGAACACCAGCCACAGGAGAGAAATCAAGCGACCGTACCTGACAAAGCTCATGGTTGGAATGGCAACTGCCAAAGGCACAACGCCAAGGACCAAGAGAAACGACGGCTGGTTCGGGGCGAGAAAAGCTGAGTAAGCTTGAGAGAGAATAGCATTTGAGAGGCCGACCAGTCCTTTCAGAACGCCAACGACTGGTCCTCGAGATCTCGGAGAATTGCGTATGCAGGTCACAAGAGCCGCTGTGTTGAACCAGGCGGTCCCTTGAGCTCCAACTAGAATCAGAGAGCACATCTGCGAAAAGAAGCGTCAGGATCGGCCTGGAACAATCACCAGCAATGGAGGCTGAAGCAATCAGATTCACCTGCCAGAATGGTAGCGGCTCAATGCGCTGTGACGCTACTAGCCATAGACCACCAAATCCTGTCAAGTAGTGCAGTGCGCCGATAAGTAGCATAAGCCACCCTGGTAGCCAATCGCACAGAATACCCGCAACCAGACCGACACTTTCTCCAACATCCTTGGCAACGGCTAGCGCCTGAATGTCTTTCTGATCGTAACCTGCTACGGCTTTTAGGACGGGTGAGTAAATCGCAAATGTTCCCGACGTTCCTGCTGTGGAGAGAATCCACATGCAGCAAACGAAGCATAACCATTTTGCAGCGGCCATGGCCTCCAAATTCCTCTCCTCACTACCTGCTGTGTTCTATTTATTCCAGTCCATTGTACCCGCAGCATCGAAAGTCGAAAACAAAGACACTCTGGGAGAATGAGAGAGAACGAAGGGAAGGTAGATAGGGGGAGGGTGATGATCCTGGACGTAATTCCCACCCATCTCGCTGCTCAGAAAAGGAACCCCTGCTTCAGGGAGCAGCTCCTTCCCCTCGATGGTGTCGGCCAGCCGTCAAGCCTCAGCGTTCCGCAGGTCGAGGAATGCGCCACGGTTTACCCGTCAAAGTCAGCCTCGTTGCAGGCTGGGAGTCGAGAATCATTCTCCATATTGTCAGGCTTCGACTTCTAGCTCAGACTCCATATTGTTTTCCAATAATTCGGAAAGAAAATCATAGCCATTTGAAATTTGAACATCATGAAACCTTCAATTTTATTAGAACTAGATGATCTCTATGCACCGTGATGCACGAGAGCCATCTTGTGGATAAATAAATGGTTCTTCTTGCTATTAAACTCGCAATAAATCAGACATTGTCTCTGTTGAAATGAACCACGATTTTTGGGTGGCCATGATCTAGAGTTGGTGGAACCTCGAGTCAAAATTTAGCGTAAGAATTTACACATTGTATTGGAAATTTCTAAAATGACAAGGATAATAATAATCAGTAATACAGACACATTTATAGTCTAGGAAGTACCTATTCGGAATGTACATGTTCGTAATGTATCACGACTATTCGCGTGACATGACTAGTGACTGTTCGTATGACTAACAGTGGTGTGACCCTTAGGGTGACTATACGTGCGAACCTACTGTTCAGGCGTTGACTCGCTACTGCTGACGTCATTACGCGCATACTTCCATTTGAGGTATCGCGCTACTAGTACAGTATAAATATAATACTAGGAATGCATAACTGATAACTCTGTCGAATATACTTCAACACTCCATTCATGAGCGTATGTCTCCGGGTAAGTGTCGCCTCGTTTGCAAATTCCAACCAAGTTGAAGCAGTACTGAATTTTGCTGCGTGGGAGTTTCTTCGTGAGAAAATCAGCAGCCATTTCTTCTGTAGGGCAGTACTTCAGGATAACCTTCCATTTGTCGATTTCCTAATTGACAAATAAGTAACAGATGGCAATGCGTTTTGTCGTGTTGACGAAGCCGAGCTTGTTTGCAATCTTAATTGCGCTCTGGTTGTCGTAGAGTAACTTGAAGTTACGAATCGTTGCGATCTTTGTCCGTTAAAACGAATCTTGGAGATAAAGTCTTTCGCGAACAACAAAGCCTGCTGCGATGAATTCTGCTTCGGCTGACGAAAGTGCGATTACCTCATATTTCGTTGAATACCATGAAATAACACCGCTAGGTTCAAGTTTGAAAATGAAAACTTTGCGCGAGCGCCTGTTGTCGGGGTCAGCGACGTGATCCGCATCAATTTATCCAGTTAGTTGAAAAATTGTTGCAATATTTGTCGTATAGCTGAGATCGATTGTAGGAATTGAAATGAAATATTGGAGGGCTCGACGAAGATCGGCCATATTCTCCCCTTCAGATCAGCGCAGATACGGTGTGGGCTGACTTGTAATGTAGGCAAGCTCTGGTCGGTAGGTAACGCATGCAAATAGAAGACACCCGAGCTGCTACTCGTAAAGCTGATGCTCGGAGGCGGTAAGTGGGGTAGTGTTGGGTTTGTGGTCGTCCAGAATATGTCGAAATGGAGTGGTGAGGCCGATGGGAGGGATGGCAATTTTTTTCGCAAGTGTTTTGGTATACCTGTTGGCAGAAAGGTAGATGACATCGGGACCGCAGTCATAGTTTAACCCAATGAATTAGGTGACGTTGGAGGAAATGACAACGTCAAGGATTGTTTGAATTCTTTGTTTCATATGCGCCAGAAGACGGTTGCACGAGCCGGTGCACAGTAAGTCCTCCACGTAAGCGACTAGAAGAATGTAATGTCACCGAAACTCGAGTTTGTATATTTCAGGATCGCGGGGCAGCTGCACGAAGTCGAGCAAAATCTGAACTTTGTGAAGATGTTGCTTCCACAGGCGAGGAGCATGTTTGATGCCGTAGAGTGATTTATGTAATTTGCAAATGTGAAGTCTGTCGCTGTAGGTGTGAGGGATTTCGACGGAAATATCTGTATCGATGTCTGCATATAAAAACACATTTTTAACGTCGAGTTGGAGAAGTGGTCTGTGGCGGCTGACAGCAATGGCGAGAAGAATTCAAGCTGAGGTACAATATGACGGCTGACCGGAACAAAAGTATGGTCTTAGTCGATGCCGTGGGTTTGTTCGAAACCTCGAACGACCCATCTCCCCTTGAATCGGTGTGGTTCGCATGCTGCATTTGTGTTTATGCGAAAGACCCGCTTGACAGTGAGATTTTCTTGCCGTGTGCTGCTTCGCGTGGAACGAGTTTCCAGGTTTCCCGCTTCTCGAGAGCTGCTACCTACGCATGCATAGCTGCTCGCCACTTGTGAGCATCAGAGCCGAAGAGGGCTTGCTTGACTATTTGCGGCTCGATCCCGGCCATCGGTGATTGAACTGCGAAAGAAAGGATGACTGAGAGTATACTAGTATGATCGAGAGTGACGTGACCCTTCGGGTGACGAACATGGTATTCCGAGCAAGTAGAGTTACACAAACCGATACAAGCTGATTTTGATTATACTCTGCTTGCTTACATATAGTTGTTCGGCTTGGTAGGATAGGTGTGCTACAATAATGGATCATATTGTAGAGGGTACAATGTCAACATATAACTTGTATACATTATAGGCTAGCTAGGTACATGCTTATATAGGGTACAACCCCTTAGGGTATATCCCCTTCTACCAGCTCATTCTAGTCACTCCTTTCTACGTTAAGATGGTATCCCGCTAGGCTAGGATCCCACCCACCTCCGCTTCCGCCCCTAGTCCCTAGCTGCCCGTAGCTGCCCGTTGCCGTTGGCCCCTTAGCGCCTTGATGGCCCCTTAGCGCCTCGCTGGCCCTTTAGCTCCTCGCTGGCCCCTTAGCACCCCCCTGGACCCGTCGCGCCCCGCTAGCCCCGTGCTCCCCGCTGGTCCCGTCCGCCTCGCTGGCCTCGTTCGCGCCGCGCTGGCTCCGTCGAGCCCCATTAGCCCCGTGCGCCCCGCTGGCCCTGTACGCAATGCTGGTCCCGTTCGTGCCCCGCTGGCCCAATCGAGCCCCACTGACCCTGCCATGCCCCGCTAGCCCCGTGCTCCCCACTGGTCCCGTGCGCCCCGCTGGCCCCGTCACGCCCCGCTGGCCCCGTCGAGCCCCGCTGGCCCCCGTCCGTCCTGCTGGCCCCGTTCGCGCCCTGCTGGCCCCGTCGACTCCCGCTAGCCCCGTACGCCCCGCCGGCCCAGTCGCGCTCCGCTAGCCCCGTGCGCCCCGATGGCCCTGCTTGCGCCCCGATGGCCCTGCTTGCGCCCCGCACTCCCCGTGCGCTCTGCTGGCCCCGTGCGCCCTGCTGGCCCCATGCGCCCTGCTAGCCCCGTGCACCCCACTGGCCCCGTGCGCCCCGCTGGCCCCAATCGCGCGACGCTAGCCCTTTGCGCCCTGCTGGCCCCTTTCGCCCCTAACTCGCCGTCCCTAGCTCGCCGGCCCGTGCTCGCTCGCCGCCCTTTCAGCTCCGGCCCCTGTTCGAGCCGGCCCCCGTTCCTGCCGGCCCCAACGTCCTGCAGTGCCGCTGTGCCACCATGTCGCTGAGTAGTCGTGTTGCCATGCCGCCGTGCCCCCGAATCGCCGTGTCGCCGTGGCACCGTGCCGCCGTAGCGCCGCCCTGCAGTGGAGCTGTGCCGCCGTGCCACCGTGTAGCCGAGGTTGTGCAATGGCAAATACTGTGCTCCGCCTGGACGCGGAGGGGTGGGCAATCGACTTCGACGCCTGGCTTGTCGACCTTCGCCGTCACCTGACAGATCAGCGCCAGGACTGTTACTCTCTGGCTGTTCATGTCGATGGCTTGATTCCCCGCCCCCCCCGGCCTGCTGCCCTCCCCGATGCCCCCAGCACTAATGAGCGTGAGGTTTTTTCTGCTGCTGCGCTTGCTCGCGTTATCTGGAAGTCGCGCGACGCCGTAGCACAGCTTGCCATTAGTCACGCCCTTCCCCTGTCTGAGCATCCTCGCTTCACCGCTATAGCGAACGCCAAGAAATTCTTAGAGGTCGTGATTGTGCGCTACTCCACGCCCGCTTCCGCCTTGCATCTTCTAGGATCAGCTTTGCTCTGCCTTGCATGCCAGGTATGCTGATGATTCTAGTGTGACCGGACCTTATTACCCTGTGTTGGCTAGTGTAGGTGTGCCTCCTGTGTGTAGTCTAGACTCTCCTGCTGCCTCGGGCATAGGAGCTTCTCCCTTGTTTAGCCTAGGCTCCACGCTTGCCCCTTTGCTGGCTACCGCTACCACTTTGCTCTCGTTCACGCTTGACTCTGGTGCGTCTGCCTGCTTCTTCCGCAACCACACTGCACTCATGCTGCTTGCCGCCCTTGCCACTGTCATGCTTGCTGACCCCTCCTCCGGTCCGTTAGTTGCCCGTAGCTCCACTACCCTTCCCTATCCGGCGGTTCTCTCGGGCTCCCTTACAGGTCTGCACATCCCCTCGTTCTCTAGGAACGTAGTTGGTGTCGGCTGTCTTCAGTACCGCGGTACACCATAGTGTTTCCCATGGAGTGGAAGGCCGACGTGCCTGAGGTTCTTATCCGATAGGCCATAGCTGCACGCGTCCACCGCGGTCTCCTTGTGCTGTGTCTCCACTCCGACCGTGGCGGCGATTTCGCCTCTGGTCAGCTTGGACAGTTTCGTCGTGCGGAGGGCATACCGCAATCGTACACCCTGCCGGACTCCCCGCAGCAGAATGGGATCGCTAAGCGACGCAACGGTTTGGTCATGAAGGTGGCACGTATCTCCATGATCCATGCCGGTACACCCCATTTTCTGTGGCCGTTCGCTACGCCGCTCACCAGCTTAACATGTGGCTGCACTCCCAGCGGTCGCTGGTTTTGCCGACCCTTCTCTGGACCGAGTTTCCTGGTGACGCGTCCGCGTTCCACGTCTGGGGGTGCCTTGCTCACGTTCGTGC